CGCCACAGGTACATCGCCATGCCTCCGCAAGCCGGGAGGGGAAGAGGTCGCCGGCGACGCCGTTCGCTTCAGGGAAAGGTACCGGACGAAGCAGAGACGGGGAGCGACGGAGGCAGCTTTCCTTCCTCCGGCGACGGACGAATCCAGGACCTTCACTGCCTGCTGTTGCTGCTGCTGCTCGAAACGAAGGGAAAAAGAAGGACGCCGAGTTTCTCCTTGAAGCAGGACCGGCGAGGAAGCCAGGAAGGGAAGGGCATTGGGCGGCGGCTGGAAGTGCCTTTCTTCAAGACCCACCGAAAGCGGAGGGAGGGAGGGAGGGGGGACTGGCCAGAGAAAGAGAGGCGATCCCCGCACGGTCACCTGGGATTCAGCCCAGCCGCGCTCCAAACCCGGAAAGCGAAAAAGGGCAGAAGGGGAGGAGAATCCCGAACGACTCAACAGAAAAGTGGGAAGGGAGTTTTTGAAATCGAATCGTGCGAAGGCCGCCGCCTACCTGTGGCTCTCCCAACTGGAGCGGAGCGGCGGCCAGCGAATCGAAGGTGGGACGCCTCTCGCCCGCCCCTCCTGCGCCTTCACGCCTTCTGCCGCTGGCCGTTCGGGGCCTCCCGGTTCCCGAGGTTGCTCCCCCGCGCGTAACACCTGAAGAAGACTCGTGGACGGGTCTTTCCCAACCTTTTAAAGGCTCTGCCGTGCCTATTCCGTTTTCTACTCTCCCTTCTCCCTGGCAGAACCTACAGTCGCAGGCAGAGGCATAGAGTCAATTACTGTATTAAAAACAACAAATCCCAATTGCGTTTTTGAAGAGCAGAGTTCGGGCTGCCTTGCGTTGACTCAAGCAAGATACGAGGGCCAGGCAATTGGGAATTTAGGCTTAAGGGACATGCCCGGTCCTACAGCTCATGGGGCGGGGGAGGGGAAGCCAACATTTGGTAGGAGGTGTGCTTCCATCTTGATCCCTGAGCCACCGGTGATGGGGAATTATGTTGTGCAGTGCCACAAATTGTGCTCGGTTGTAGCTTGCAATACACTTTTGCTTTTCCTTGGTCTTACCGACCTAAACCCACACTTTTCTGCCTTATGAAGCAGCTGAGCCCAGCTCTATGGCTATAGGTATCCTTCTGTGTGTGGAACCATTCCTGTTTGTTGTTCAATAGGCTTAATTCCTACAGTATAAGGAATATTAATAAAAATACATCTAATGCTGTGATTTGCAGCCCACAAAGGCTTGCCCAAATAAAATATACGAATCTTTTAAGGTGACACCATGTTTTTTCCCCTGCAACAGCCTGGCATGGCTATCCTACCACCACCAAAAAAATCTATGAACAATATGGGCTTTAGAGTTGGTTATATTTTATGATACTAATTTATAAAAATAAAATATTCTCCTTTTGTTGCAGTTTGCCTTAATTGAAAGCTTAGTACTGTAGATGAATCCTGTTATGTTTGACTGCATGCCTATACAGTCTCAATATACGTAGATGCTAATTTTGCATCCTTATGCTAACTGAACTGCCCCCAGCCTAGTCAAATTAGGACAGAGATGGAGAACTTGTAATCAGTAAACCAGTGATTATGAACAAGGGGGGAACACTCTCCAACAACATTTAGGTAAAGGTTCCCCTTGACATTTAGTCCAGTCCTGTCCGACTCTAGGGTGTGGTGCTCATCCCCGTTTCTAAGCCATAGAGCCAGCGTTTGTCCGAAGACAGAATCCATAGTCACATGGCCAGCACGACTAGACACAGAACACCAAACAACATTTGGAGAGCCACAAATTGCCCAGCCTTGCACTGTGGTATTAAGTATTTACAACTATGAATGACTATTTGTATTTGTTATGGAAAGATGTAGCTAATTTTCTTTGCTGATGTGAATTACTTCTTTAATTTTTGAAACACATTAACAAGTCCATTTGATGGAAGTTCCCAATCTATCCAGTGAAGGCCATACTTCTTGGTTCTGCCCAATTTGCTGAACGCAAGCATTTTAAGCAGATGATCTGAGAATTCTCAAAGGGTATGCTTAGGAAAATATGAATACCATTTTAAAGGTCAAAGTCAACACAACATATATACATACACCCCTCCCTCACTTTTGGCGGAGTTTAGATAGCTATACAAGCCCAATGTATCACTATCCTTTTGCATAAAGAATAACAGTTCCCTCTTTTGCAACATTAATAGTAAGAATTCCACTTTAATCAAACTATTACATTTCTAATAACAGCTATCTACTATAAGACTTCACATACAAGAAACTTGGGATTATACAAGACTGGATATCATTCAGTTAAGAGAACTGTCCCTGGAAAAAAATAACTTACAATAAAAACATGAACACAAAATTTACAATGGCTAGAACAACCTAGTTCTGTGACATCCACTACATGTGTCTTTTTGATGGCAAACAAGATTCAGCAGTTGTAATCGCAATTTATGAGGAAATGTCACATGCATACATAATATTTTATGTGTAAAAGACCATTATATATGGATAAAGTTTACATTACATGAACCCTACTGCAGTCCTCAGATATTAACACACAAATAGTTGGAATGAATTACTCATCCATATCATTTATGTTGGTATTTTTCCCCACAAAAAATGTTCTTAAATATTACACTTGTTATTCCTGAAACTGAAGGTGAGAGTAGGTCAGTGGCTAGACCATTAGAATGAAGACAGTTCACAAATCCTAAATTTTCCAGAAATTTATAACACTGTATCCGTTGTCAAGTCACTCCCACTATGAAGAAAAGTTTTCTTATACTGTATATTCAACATCAAAGCCCACTGAGATCAATAGACATTGCTTCCCAGTGATTATGTTAGAATTTCAGTCACAGTCTTATTGTCAGGGCAACAATCATAAACTACTACAGGCTGGATTCAGAATGTAAACACTGAAAGTGGGCATGAATACTATTGACTTCTGCAGCTCCATGTTGCAGTACAATCAAAAGGTGGAGTCACAGTGGTCTGTATCAAAGACTATGGAAATAAAATATAACATATAAACTATCGATGAGTTGGTTGCAGAGCCAAAAGTTGGAAATTCACTTTCTTACCTCTTACTCAGAAGAACTAATATGTGTGGCCTTGGGCAGGCAGCACAGTCCTAGGATGCCCCTAAAACAAGGAGATGATAAACCACTACTATTTTGTACCATAAAAAAGAAAGAAAGAAACACCTGGGAATCAACTTGACAGCACACAATCATTAATTATAACTACCCATACATATCACTGCATTTGGTCCTAAGGCATATTCTCCATTTTATTTGTTTAAAATATTTATATCAATTCTAAAGAGAAAAACTGTTTCAAGGTAATGTACAAAATAAAAACATTTTAGAAATTATATGCAGATAGGTCAAGGTAAAGGTTCACTTTGACAATTTTTGTTCAGTCGTGTTCGACTCTAGGGGGCGGTGCTCATCCCCGTTTCCAAGCCATAGAGCCAGCGTTTTGTCCGAAGACAATCTTCCATGGTCACATGGCCAGTGCGACTTAGACATGGAACGCTGCTATAGCTTCCCCCTTATGTATCTGCTATATGCAGATACATAAGAACATAATAAACTGCTGAATGCTGGGTCAGACCAGTGGTCAGTCTAGCACTGGGTTATCACCTCTGACAGAGTTTCAGGCAGGATTACAGTGGTGCCTCGCTTAGCGATTTTAACTGGTGCAAAAAAAAATCGCTATGGAAAACATCGCTAAGCGAAACGCGTTTTCCCACAGAGATGCACTGAAAACTGGATAATCCATTCCAATGGGAACGGATTACCGTCCTTAAGCGAAAATCGCCATAGGAAAAATCGCTAAGCGAAACGCGGTTCCCCCATTGAAATGCACTGAAACCTATTCAATGCATTTCAATGGAGGGAAAAAAATTACAAAAAATTCACTGAGTCAGAACGAAGCCAAATTAATTTAACAAAGGGTCTATTAAGGGCACTAACGATTTCAAGCACTCTAAACCCTTTTAAAACGTTTAAAAACCTTTAAAAAACAGTGAACACAGGGCTGTCAAAACCATCGTTAAGCAAAACAGGGGGACCTAAACTGTCATCGCTAAGCGAAGGAAGGTTCCAAACATCGCTATGCGGAATTCGCACATAGGAAACATCGCTAAATGGAGTGCAAGATCACTCCAAAAACCTCATCGCTAAGCGAATACATCGTTAAACGAGGCAATCGCTAAGCGAGGCACCACTGTATTTTGTAGCAGGGCCATAACCAGGGCAGGCTAAGTCAGATTTAGAGGGTGTAGCCATGGCCATCATCCTCTCCTCTCCTGATTATCCTTGGAAGCAATGAGCTAAGAGACCAACAGTCAGTTAAAACCACTGTCACCTTCAGATGTGCAGTAGGAGGCACATCCTTCCCCCAGCAGGCATTAAACACCTCTGTGGCCTATATGATCAGCCCATTTCTAGAGATATTAATATACTGAAGGCCATGGATCCAAATAATAGGTTTTGTTGTTGTTGTTGTTTAGTCATTAAGTCGTGTCTGACTCTTCATGAACCCATGGACCAGAGCATACTTGGTCCTCCTGTCTTCTACTGCCTTCCTTGAAGTTGGGTCAAATTCATGTTGGTTGCCTCAATGACACTGTCCAACCATCTCATCCTCTGACGTCCCCTTCTCTTATGATCTAGCTGGTCTTCTGACCTTGTAGCACAGAGGCTTCTGCAGTTTAACCCACAGCGCCACCACATCCCTTTAGTCACTAAGTCGTGTCCAATTCTTTGTGACCCCATGGACCAGAGCACGCCAGGTTCTTCTGTCTTCCACTGCCTCCCGGAGTTGGGTCAAATTCATGTTGGTCACTTCGATGACACTGTCCAACCATCTCATCTTCTGTCGTCCCCTTCTCCTCTTGCCTTCGCTCTTTCCCAACATCAAGGTCTTCTCCAGGGAGTCTTCTCTTCTCATGAGATGGCCAAAGTATTGGAGCCTCAGCTTCAGGATCTGTCCTTCCACTGAGCAATCAGGGTTGATTTCCTTCAAAATGGATAGGTTTGTTCTCCTTGCAGTCCAAGGGACTCTCAAGCGTCTCCTCCAGCACCACAATTGAAAAGCATCAATTCTTCAGCAGTCAGCATTCTTTATAGTCCAGCTCTCATTTCCATACATTGCTACTGGAAAAACCATAGCTTTGACTATGTGGACCTTTGTTGGCAAAGTGATCTCTCTGCTTTTTAAGATGCGGTCGAGGTTTGTCATCACTTTCCTCCCAAGAAGCAGGCGTCTTTGTGGCTGCTGTCACCATATGCATTGATCATGGAGCCCAAGAAAGTAAAATCTGTCATGCCTCCATATCTTCCCCTTCTATTTGCCAAGAGGTGATGGGTCCAGTGGCCATGATCTTGATTTTTTTGATGTTACGCTTCAGACCATTTTTTGCACTCTCCTCTTTCACCCGTATTAAGAGGTTCTTTAATTCCTCCTCACTTTCTGCCATCAGAGTGGTATCTAGCCGCCTAGAGTGGTCTTAACAGAGCAGATAGGCAGGATATTAAAAAAATAAATAAATAAATCATCTGCATATCCAAGGTTGTTGATATTTTCTCCAGCAATCTTAATTCTGGCTTGGGATTCCTCCAGTCCAGACTTTCACATGATATATTCTGCATATAAGTTAAATAAGCAGGGAGACAATATACAGCCTTGTCATACTCTTTTCCCAATTTTGAACCAATCAGTTGTTCCATATCCAGTTCTAACTGTTGCTTCCTGTCCCACATATAGATTTCTCAGGAGACAGATAAGGTGGTCAGGTAGTGTATCTCAAACATCCAACTAGTTTACCTCATCAGACTGTAGATGCTAATAGAAAACAATTTGATTAGAAGGAAAACTAGCTATCTCTGACTCTGTGAAAGCAATGAAACCAGGGTGAGGGAAAATGCAAACAATCTGCCTTGCAAAATGTCATACAAATTGGTCACAATAGGACTATGAAGTGTTGTGTGTGTGTGTATTTAAATTTATGTAAGAATGGGGGTATCTTCAATAGTAAACAGTTCCTGAAATACAGCACTTTGCAACAGGATGTCTGATTAGGGCTACCGTGCAACTGGATTCCCAATTTAGGACAGTGTTTCTTAAACACTGAACATAGATTTCTTTTCACATTTATTCTGTCTTGCCCTCTATGCCCACAAGCTAATGCTAATTTGTTCAGGAGACCAGAGAGAGACTTACTCAATTATATTAACATACTCTGCTGTAGAAGAAGTTGATATACAGCAGCTTTCTTCAGCTTGTCCACTCACTAGCTATGCTGGACTACAACTGTCACTAGCAATACATGTGGAGGCTACATGATGTCACCAACAAATCTGGAGAGCAGCAGATTGGAGGAAGCTATAAACTTGCATACTGTAAATGTTTTGTGCTATCACAATATTGTCATGTAGTTACGTGAGTGCAGTGCAAGAAGCTCTAAACAAGAATTGTGTGATCCTATCCCACCCATTCACACCGTTTATCACAAGAAATGAATAAAAACGAAAATTTCATTTTCCATTTTATTTTTCCACAAGATATTCTTCTGAAATGACTGCAGGAGAAAACTATTAAAGAAATAAAAACAGGACCCATGTGAATCAACAAATGATAATAAGTCTTTGATCTGCTACTGTGTATTCTACTCTATTATATTGTATACATAGTACAGTATTTGGTTCTAGGAACCATAGGAAAAAATTATTGATTCAAGAGCCTATTATTACCTCTAAAGCCAGTTGATATGATGGATATCCTGTATGGCTGGCCCCTATTTTTTTTATCTGAACAGATAATTTTTGTCAGTTCACATTCTGGGATGCCCATTATATTGTGCTCAAAAGAACAAACTACTGAGCAACACAGGATTATAAGTAACTTTAAAATGCAAGCTGACTACTTAGTCACCATAAGAAAAAAATTACCCCTGTGGAGCTGGAAAAAAAACAAATAACCAGCCATTTGCCAACAAAAAGCATAAGTGGGCTTACAGGATGCTATGGATAGTGGAATGATCGGGAAAAAATTTGCCAATTCCCTTCTGTATTCTTTAAATTCTGTTTTAAAGGGCTTGGCCACCTCTGTCCCTCAGATAGAGGCTGCAAGAGGAATTGGCAATAACGGCCTCCACTTTATGTCAGTGGAAACCTTTACCAGATTCAGTGAACAGGAGGAACTCAACATCCCCTTCTGCAATTCATTTAAATAAGCAAATAAATAAATTAAAACCCATGTTGCCTATTGAATTGATATGAAGTTCTCTACTGGCATGGTTAATGCTGCCCACATGAATCCTGTAACGATACAGAGGCCATGAATATGCATTATGATGAGATATGATAGTAAAGAAAGAATTATGAAGTAAATAAAAAATCCTTATAAATTTAGTAGGAAATTCTACTGTGCTTCCAATACAGAAAACATTATCTATAATTCTTAAGGGGTAGGGCAAATTAAAGAGGGCTAATGTATTGCAAAGTTAATAAAATAAAGCCAAATATTATGCTTTCAAGTTTATTTTTTAATTTCTTCCAGTCTTCCAGGTTTTGAACTTTAAGATGGTACAAATTTTCCACATTTCCTTATTTTTGGAAGGCAAAGACACCCAAGCAAGGTTAGACTTGAAAGCCCTGTTTTAGAGAGAGAACACATATTCTGTTACCGCTGACTGGACAAAAAAAGGGTCAAAGCAGCAGCAAGTCCAGAGGAAATACACCAAAACAAAAATGCTGATACTAACACACACACTCACACACACAGGATAATTGTCCCCAAAAAGGATTAAACCCAGCACCGAGTGAGAGAATGCAGTTCCTAAGGGGCTGTACGGAAGCTCTGTGAAAATGTTCCAAATCTCAATGCTACAGCTCAGCTTCAGCATTCTCTGATGTTTTTCCTTATCAGCATTTTGAGGTTTTATTTGCAATGACAAACTAGCAGGGCAAATTTAAGTTCACTGCTATGAGAAACGCTGGCACCTATTGCTCTGCTATAACAATAACATCCCATGCTGACTATTTTTCCTTTTCTTTTTTGCAAGAGGGTTAGGACCATGTGGAAGAACTTAGGAAGAACTTCTGGATAATAGCCGTTCAACAATAGATTAAAATTACCTCAGGAGGTGGTAGACTCTGCTTCGCTGGAAGTCTACAAACAGTGGTTGGATAGCTTTACCTCTGGATTTTCTGTTCCAGCAGGGAGCTGGACTCCAATGATTTGTGGAGCTCATTCCATCTCTACAATTCTATGATTCTATTTTGAATTCTAGTTCCTATTGGCCCCAACCATCAGCTGAACCAATGGTAAAAGTAATGAGAATGATCATGTTTTTAGGCTTCTAAGAATGACTTGGGCAAGACAGCAGGTAACATGCTGTTGTGAATTTGGCTTTCTGACCATGCTGAACACTTAACACAATGGACTGAAAGTGCAATGCTGTGTGTGTGATGACCGTTTAATACAACAGCTTTGCCATGAGCGGGGAGCCAATTTTAAAATAGCCAATATGTTCGAGTCTTTCAAAATTAATTAAGAAACATCTACAAATCACCCTATAAAGAGGAGCCTTGTCATGTGAAGTCATGTGAAGGAAGTGACATCTGAACCATGCTTCCCTGGTACAACTGCAGGTTTGTTCCCCCCCCCCCCCAGCAACAATGCAGCACAGCAATTGAAAACATCCTATTGACCTCCTGCTATTCACCCTCCAGAAGTGGCAGCTGTATCCATAACCTAGTTCTTCCCATAATTGAGAATGATTGAACTACTCGAATTAAAAAAATGTGAACAAGCCCTAAAATACAGAACGAATTTGCACAGGTGAAAAATAAGACTTCAGTACATGTAAATTTAATTCAGAACTTAGTTATGTTAAACATTAAGCCTTTGGAGTGTGTTTTTCCAATTTTTGCGAACTGTTTAATGAATAATTTATCTCTCTAAGTATCCCTACTATAATAGGATTTCCAATTAACCATGGTAGGTTTCTGTTTTAAAAGTCCAATATCATCAGCAACAATTACTTCCACAACAATCTTTCCCACCATCTCTCCCTGGTTTCCTCCTTGATGCTGAAGCAACACTCGCTAAGCACCCAGACACTTCAGATATTGTTGGACACCAACCAATCCCAGTAAGGATGACCAATGGTCAAGATTATAGGAGTTTAGTCCAACATTTGGTGGGTCACTGGTTCCCCAACTTCAGGTTATGAAAATTTCTGCATGGAAGAACAAGATTCTACAACTCAGCTCTGAACAAATAAATGCATGGTGCAATAGAGGGCAAGAATGTGTGACTGCTGTGAAGTGGCTATTTGTGCACTGGTCTGACATAATTCCAGTTTCTAGAACTGTGCCGACAATTCTAAGTAATCATTTCCACAGAGCCACAGTTACATCCCAAATTACACATTAGACAGTACAAACCCAGCATGTTCTGAAAGAATAAACACAAATGAGACAGTATACAATTTCCCCAACATTCTGCGGCAGATAGATTGGAATCAGTAACCCTTTGCTCCGCAGATGCTTTTGCTTTTCATGAACCAACACCCATTCACCTTTTTTAAAAAGGGCCGGTCTAGTTTTTACAAGGAGAGCTGAACATGGATAAGGGAGGTTGGGTTCTATCCCCACCTTTTTTTCACCTGCTTGTATACTGTTCCTGTCTGGATGTATTCCCAGATTGTACTTTTTAAAAAAATTCTGCATTAAAATGACCCTGACTAAGAAGAGAGTAGATTTCATGATGGGAGTAAATTGGAAAGGCAGCATTGTGAGGATTATGTCTAGGACTGAGTTTTATCTGTTCACCTTACTGATTAAGAGAACCTAGGCAAAGTAATTGAGTTCCTTCTATGTATTAAGCTTTAAGGCAGTCTTCTGCAGTTCTATTATTATTATTATAATCAGTAGTAGCAGCAGTAATAGTAGTACCTTACACATTATACCAATATGCTGTATTATGGTTTCCTAAACAGATGTAGTTAAATGCTCCTTTCCCATTATGGCACTTGAAACACTGTATGATTATTTTTCACAAAGAAACCAAATGTTCCACAATCTTTTAGAAGTGATATTTACACTATTTTCAGCTGCATATCCATAACATCATCAAGTATATCTTGACTTCAGCAAAGCTTTTGACAAAGTGCCCCATGAGATCCTGATTAGCAAGCTAACTAGGTGTGGGCTGGATAGATCAATTGTCAGGTGGATACCCAATTGGCTATAGAATTGTACTCAGAGGGCGCTGATTAATGGGTCCTTCTCTAACTGGGAGGAGGTAACAAGTGGGATACCCCAAGGCTCAGTCCTAGGCCTGGTGCACTTCAATATTTTTATTAATGAGGGAATGCTTGTCAAATTTGCAGATGATACAAAATTGGGCGGAATACCTAATACCCTAGAACAGAGGTCATCAACCCTGGTCTACAGCCCGGTGCCCGTCCGTGGCCTGAGGTGGACCAGGCCACAGAGACAGACCTCCAGCCCCCCCACGCACTCCCCTCCCCACAGCTGCTTTGCACACATGCACACGTGCCAGTGCTCCCCACCCTTTCACACACGTGCCTGAGTGTCCACATGAAGGGGTAGGCGGGTGCACAGGCACTCCTGCGTGAAGGGGTGAGGAAGCGATCATGCTGGCATACACACGCACACTCCCCCACCGCTTTGTGCATGCAGCCGAGAGCATTTCAGTAAGCCTACTGACATAATTGCTTCAGGTACACATTTAAGGAACAGAGGTAGAAATGAGCTGGGATCAACTGAGATATTAATCAATTGTTTGTTTCTATACTGTAGCATTTGTGGGTTATATGGGACTGGTGTCAACAAAACAGATTTTAACTTCCACAGCATGGCAAATGTTGATAAACGTCCATAATAGTGGCTATGTTACATGTTTTCTGTCAGTTTATGCCAATTCAAAAATATTAGCAGAGATTCTAGAAAGTTGGCTTGCAAGGAAGGTTAAAACAAAAGAAAAGAAGAATAAATTTGCTAACAGCTTTTAGGAACCTTCCAAATTATTTTTATAAACCATTTATATCTTTCAGCACTACACTCACACTAGCATCATTTCAACACTCATCATTGTTAAGACACCTCTGTTGTTTTATGCTGGTTTTCAAACATTACCAGAGAGGAGGCGGCCTTACCAAAGTGTTGTGCACTTTCAAAACAGGGTATATAGTTGTGATGAGGTGAGAACGTCAGGTAGCCGGCATGCTCATGGTGAGCTGTTGGGCCCCTTTAAGATGGCTGAGAGAGTTCAGCCAGGGGAAAAGGCTAAGGCACAGGGAGAGAAGACAGCTGGGGAAGGTGCAGCTTAATGTGGAACACTTGCCTGAGGCAGCCAGGAGGCAGGTAAAAAGGAGTGAAGACAGGGTTTTGGGAGGCTGTTGGTCAACAGAGGAAGAACAAGGGACATGGAGGAACTGCTACTGTCTGAAACAGCTGGGGGGGCTGTGTGATGTTTCTCACCTAAAGGACCACTGTTGACTGAGAAAAGCCCCCCCCCCCAAAAAATTGTCATTGTAGACAAGCAAGAGGAAGGGAAGGGCTGTGCCTCCAGCATCCATATAAAGGACGATACAAACCTTTTTTGAGCCAGACAAAGTCTCATGTTGATAGACCTCAAGTGTGGGAACCTGCAGTGAAGATAACTAAGGACCCCACTGAGGGAGAGGATGCCCAAGGACTGGTTTATGCCCCTCAACCTGCATTTTCCAAGGCTGCAGGGATTCTGCAAAGCTGTAGTACAGCTGTAAATAAAGCACCCATATTTTTAAATGCTGATGTTGAGCCCATGGAGTTTAGGCCAGGGAACCCAGCCATGGCCACCCCCAGAATAGTAGATAACCACTCATACTTGACAGACTGTTTCAGGAAAACATATAAAAATACCTTTTAAAAAGTCATAAAATACCATGAAGGAGTTTTGCCACTTACCATTAATGACACAGGTGTCTCTGATGCTACCTCCAGCCGCACTCTGTACAGTCTTCAAGAACACACATTTCTAATGAGGGAAGAGGAAAAATGAGGGCTGGGGAAAGAATTAATCCTACAACAGAGGCTTCGCCCTTAGAAATAATTTGTAGACTCCTAAAGAAACTAGGTCAATATAGGTATCAACTGCCTGAAAAGAAAAATGTAATTAGATAACTGTCTCAGTTCTGTTTGGTCAGCATTGGCACTGTTTCCAGAGATGTCTTTTGTTTTATATTATTTTTATTTGTGTATTTTGTCCATGAGAATAGGCATCAAAGAGATAAGTGCCCTTTCTGCAAGCTGGCACAAGAAAAGGCAAACTATTACAGTGAGCAGCCCAGAGTAGACCATGTCTAGATGGGTGGCATATAAATGCAATCAATCAATCATTATAGTACGTTAAATTTCTCAGTGCAAGGGTCAGTGAGACAAAATCCACTAGTTCTTTATGAAAGTGGCTGCCATCTGCAGCATATCCCAGCTCCTGCAACGTGCATGTTATTGTCTCATGCTACACAGGTTTTGTCTATGTAGGCTCAATTGGACTGAGCTGGACTGGGCTAAGCAGGATTGCTTAAAGTAGGGTGGAGACTCTGAATGCCACTTGGTGTGACCCCAAATGGCACAGACACCTCAAGTTCTATTTTGGTCTGGCTCCTTTCAAAAAGCAAAGGAGGGAAAAAAATCTCCATCCTTGGCCCCTCCTCCCACTTCCAGAAGGAAAATGTAAAGTTTTTTTTAATTAGCTGATACAGTGGATCAACACTGTCTTAAATGACCCCCCCCTTTTTTTTTTGCTTCCTCTCATGGAGGAGCAAAGGAGTTTTTAATGTCCCAACTGAATTTCCAAATTTCCCCACATCATTAAGTGGTTAAGATAGCTGTTTAATCCACTAATGATACCGGATATTGAAGCCACCTGGGAAATTTAAAAAAGTTCATTTTGGTCTGGTCCCGGAGACCATAGGTGCAGAAGACAAACCAAAACACAGGAAGCCTACCTGCGCACACACACACACACAAGCCAACCCAGAAGCCCCAGATAGAGACTCAGAAAGGCGTGGATAGGAATGCTCTGAGAATGCCTTGGTTCACTATCAATTGCATACTCTCTCGAAAAAAGAGCACATTACACCTTCTGCCAGAAAAGTGAACCAGCCCATCCCCACAGCAGGACAAATGCCCACCTGATCGCACCCGCAGTTAGCTTTACAAATGCTCTTGTGGTGTGATATTACAGAGTGGGACAAGTACAGTATGCCTGTCCTTCTCGCCTGTTGCTCATACGTCTACGATGTACTTGTTCCTCACCAACAAGCTCCACGTCTTAGCAAAGCTTTTTCTAAAATATACCTCTGTTTCAAGAACCTACCCAGACGTGACTGCAAGGGCACCTTCTACCCTGTCATCACTATTACATCAAAGACACAAACCACACTCTCCCTCCGCACAACACGCACTCCTCCCATTTAGCTACCCCCGCTTCTCTTTACTCCAACTGCTGCGCCTGCGCATATGCGCTTTCGGACTCCAGGAAGCTGAACACAAGAGTCCCGCCCTCCGGCCGACGACGACGCCTGCAGCTCCTGGCGGAGGGAAACAGAGAAGGCGGAGCCTCTGTTGGCCGCTGGAGATGGTGTTTTTTTCCGGGGTGGAAATGCGCCTGCGCAGTCGCGGAGCTGAAGGCAGCTTTTGCCTTTCTGTGCCGTATAGGCTCGCCGGAGGATGGTCTGGAAGCGCCAGGCAGTCCGAACTCATCCACAGCCTTCCCAGTGAGTGGTACGCGCTCACCCTCGCGCCCCCCCCAACCGAGGTGAAAAGGAGTGGGTGGGTGGAGTGAAGGAGGAGGGCTCGGGCGCGCGCAGGCCACTTGTGAGACACACACACACTTTGACAGTTACTTGTTCCCCCTGTGACCGCCCGTGACTGAACTTGGCTGGAGGAGTGGGTTCGTCCTCGTGGGTGGGTGGGTTTTGCGGGCGCGGAGAGGCCAGTTTGCCTATTCCGTTTCATGAACAACTTGTTTAAGGGCAGGGACTGCCTCTTCCAAGGGCCTGGACACGAGGGTGGTGTGTAGTCCATGGGGTGTTGTGCGGAGGAGACTCACACACACACACACACACAGCGGGGCTCGACCTTCTTCTCTTCAGCTCTGCTCTCCGATTCCCCCCCTCCAACTCTCCTGCATTGTGTCCTTTGTTGCTTGTGTTTCTTTCTGCTTGGTCATTTTTTTTCAAAGTTTCCAATAGGAAATTGCTCTTTCTCTGCTGACCTTTTTATTCAGGTATATCTTTTATTATATTTGGTAATGACACCCATCTTTAGTTCTGCATTTCCAAAGTTTCTTGCTGCCCAAGAGCCTTTAAGATTTTTTGTTTTTGTTCAGATGTTACATTTGGTACAAACTCAGTGTGTCTTTAGCTGGAATTCTTACACTTTCTTCTAGTCTCTGCTTATATGAATTGCTTTCCTTAACATCACCTGCTGCTCTGTGGAGCAGATAGAAAGCCTGAGTTATTTCTTCTCCATGCTAGTTGTCAAATTACCTTTTTCTTTACCTTGTTTTTCCTTTATAAAGTTAAATGGGTGTGTTCTTTTCCTTCCTGTTTTGTCAGGAATATCTCTCATCCATACTGCGGTTATATCTGAATTCCTGAAGTTGCTCATAGGATATGTGGCATATAGGAAAATGCACGAAATGGGTTTAAACAATACTAAAAATTAACTATGGTGAGATCAGCATTTATTTCCAGAGGAGCAGATAACCATAAACATTTGTTTCTTTCCATAGTATAGAGAAGCATTATCTGTCAGTACAACAGATAACCTGTGGAAATGGAAGAAAGAAAAAGCAAGAGGAGGAGTCCCAAGTCATCCACCTCTCATGTCACTCAGGTTGCCAACAATAAGAAGAACTCTGGCCTTCCAAGCAAAAGTACACAATTTTCAAACCCTGCACCACAAAAACCAAAATTGAAAAGGTAAATGCTCATAAGTCATTTATAAAGGCAATCAGCAGTAGCCAAATTGAGGGTCATATACTTTTTCAACAGGAGATGATGATTGGTGATTCAGGCAGCAACTCTGCTCATTTACTTGGGGTGGCATCCATTGAACTCAGTGAGTGTTTGGCATAGTTATGTATAGAGTTACACAGTCATTTGTGATAAAGTCACAAAAAGTAGGGGGAAAGATTCAAACTGAAAGGACCCCAAATAATTGCTTGTTTGTAAAATATATCACTTGTTTCCCTGCCACCCACCCACCCAGCATGGTACTCAAGACTGTATGCAAGCATATATTGTAAAGAATATTACTAAAGCATATATATTACTAAAGCATATATATTACTAAAGCAATCACAAAAAAACCAGAAATAACTAAAAACCAGCAATAGCAGACCAGCATATTAATTTAGAATGCCTAGGAAAAATAACGTAATTCTGCACTTAGTACATTAGAAATTGAAGGCAGTATTTCCCTCAAAAACACTGTGTGCATTTTGTCATCGGAACAATGCATTGTTGATTAAATCCATGTTATCTTGGTCACCATCTGTTTGAAATGCAGGCCAGTGAAATAAAGCTTTTTTGTCTTTTGATCACAGAAAACATTCCAGAATCATTGGGAGGAGCTTCTTCCCCTAATCTAAATGACAAAATCCAATCACTATTCATATATCTCTGCACATAAAATTATTCATGCTACTTTCCCCCCTAGATTCATGGCTTGCTTTTTTGTTCCAAAGGATGAACCTTCAGCTAGCTGTCAGAACTACATGAGGAGGGCTTGTATAAATACATGCCAGATGCCCACAGTCCAAATCCACTAATTTTTCAACCTTTCCACATTGAGAAGGATGTCTGAAAGGAACTGCTACTCATGTTCAAGCATGAATCCTGCTTCATTCAGACCATCGGCAAAACCAATGATTCAGGGGTTGGGGATGTTACGGTAGGGCTTGCATGCATGCCAACATTACCTTCCCATTTTAACCCTTGTTGCATTCTGAACATCTTTGTGGGATTGATGTTCTAATTGCAGTAGGTCCACCTCTTCATTTGGTGGGCTTATTTAATGGACAGAATTAGCATGCTTTATTCTGCATAGATATTGTATCAGCAAAAATCAGCGTAGCAGGACACATCCCTCTGTTTGGAAGCCAGAAAAAAACAAATTGGGAATAGCATAATTCCTGTTTCTAAAAGCAGATTGTCTTACTATTGTGACCAAAACATTTGACTCAAAAGAGCAACAGAAGTTATGACACCTTGTACAAGGAGACAAGCTTCCTCTTAAAGATTCTGGTATGCCTTCTGTGAGCCAGGTAGAAGAGAAATACACATTATCTTGAGAATGAAATATAAAACCCTGGACAGTTGTTTGTACTGTTAGATTTTTGTACTTTTATCTTTAGAAATACTATAGCTGAAACCCTGTTGCACTTGGTATACTATAAAGTTAGGCCTGTGGAGGTTCATACAGATTTAGGCCCAGAGGTCTGCATGTCTGATTCTGCAGTTGCCCAGACGTGTCCATGGAAATCCTTCCTGGATAAGACTTTCAACTTCGTGCAAATGTTGCAATAGTTAACACACCATCAATTTATGGAGCTCTAGCTATGCAAAAGGATTTCAGCCACTAAATGATAAAATACAACGTAAGTTTTCTTATAATGTGACTTGCAATAGATGTGTATTGTTTTGTTCTGGGAGGCTTTCTCTTGATGGCATTTGTTGATGCATTTGACCTATCCTAATTTAAATATCTGTCTTATCCTTAGAGGCATAAAAGAGAAAGCCAAAGCACCAGGAGCAGATAACAAAGGAGCACAGTCAGCTCCAATCCAGCATTCATTTCTCACAGATGTGTCAGATGTTCAGGAGATGGAAAAAGGACTTCTGAGTCTTCTAAACGACTTCCATTCTGGATTACTACAAGCATTTGGTAATTTTCTTATCATTTCTGCTCACAGAGAAGTATTTCTTTCCAATATAAAGACTTTCATTTGTGTATTGGTGAAAAGATGACACGTAACCAGGTCTCTAAATTCACTAATTTATTGCGAAGAATAGCATAGTCTTATGACATATTGCAGACCAGGATTTTTTTGTTTGCAGTAAACCTTTATGAGTTGTAGCCAACTTCATCAAATTCATGGAGTGAAGCCCTTGGCAGGGAGACATTTCTACACCTATGGGGAGAGATGGAGTGAAATATGTCAAGGATAATTGCAGAGTGCGTATCTTCTCCAACTCCCCAAGTTCTTCAGTTCTAGGGAAACAAAGACTGAGACAACATAGCTCCTGTTACCAAAGTCTATTTACAAAGATACAAATAGACAAACTGGCAGCATCACTGTGTCCGAGTAAATGAGCTCTCAGAGCACTCGAGTTCAGGATAGCATAGGCTCTCAAACTGAACCAAATTGTGCATGCATCTATCCAGACTTATACTCACAATATCCGATGACAAAGGACATTACATCAGCTTCTTGAATCATCTACCTATTCAGCATGACTCTTCACTTTTTCCTAATTGCACCTGATGTACTTGACCTTCAGTACATATCTATTTATGTTAGTAAATTCCATCTGTATGACAATATCAAAACCTTGACAAAATGTAATAGACATGTAAAAGCTATCACATGGTTATTATCTTGCCACGAGATTTGGAATAATTCAGCAGTTACCCAGTGACAGGTATATCCATAGATAAACAGATTAACACATGTAAATTGAAGCCTATGTCTCTTTTTAATCCAGTGTAATCGGGAGTTGAATCTCTTGGTTGTATTGTGGCTTCAGCCACCATATTGGCACTTTTGATAAAGGAATTCTGTGTTACTTTCTCATTAGAAACAAATAGTGGAGATGGGGTGTTGTTTTATTTTTGCTTTTTGGAAATCAACTATGAAACACTGGTGCTGTAGTTTTGTCTCTCAGTCATGTCACTGTGAAAGCTTTAGGTTTTCTGTTTTTTACCAAGGGGACAGTGTAGAACTGCCACTGCAGGGTGAAAATTGTGGTTTTCTACCCTCTCCCCTCATTTTTGATGGAACATGTCTGGTTTTGGATTGTGTTTTGCAGAAGACAACTTAAGTCACAGTTCCCTTTTTGAATTTGTCTTTGACAATCTAGTTAGAACTAATTAAGAGAAGTTGATTCTTTTTGTACAGCAATAGCAAGGCAGTGTGTTATGTTGCTACTATTTTCTTTGTTTATCTTTATAGTGACTTTAAAAAAATCTTACATTGTTAAGTGAAGACAGATTTTCTTTTTCATTATCATTATCTTTGAAATTCTTTGAGAAATTCCTCAAAGAAGGAAAACATTTAGTTTAAACCAGGAAATTATAATTTGAGCCACTTATCCCAAAACAAGGAATTTCAGATGACAGATCAGTATCCCATTACTTGAAACATGAATACGTACATAGGTACACATATTTTGTATCACCCTAAGCAGACACAAGAGATGAGCTCAGCTTAAATAGAAACAATGCTTGCTTAGTTAGGTCTAAGCCTATTAAACACAAGACTTATTTTCCCCAAATATAGATCAGCTAGACTGAAGTATTAAATGCTTATGTCACCGAGCACAGGTCTGCACTGAAAATCAGTTCACCAGCTCTATAGATGCTGACAGTACCTATTACCTATGCTTGCATTTAATTTCTTCTCTTTTACAGCACTAGCAGTGTGCTGTATAGGGAGTAGGTTTTGAGTACTAATAGTGTAGTTGGAATGAGCAGGTGTTCAAAAAGTGCAAATCAATGTAACGTTATGCTTTCAATGAAATACTTTTTCTCTTAGGGAAATATATTCTGATTCAGCTGTTTACCTTGGGAATTTGTCTTTGAAGTTCTTTTGTTCAAGAATGACTATCTTGAGCTTAGAAACAGTGTCCTTGGAATCTGAAGTATTCTCACACTACTTTTCAACTATTAAACATTTTGTCCATTAAATACTTTGTGCAGAAACTGGCTATTTGTTCTTTGTAGAATACTGTGAGGCATTTACTAGCAAAATATGACATGTAACATTGAAGGATGGGGAAATGTATGCTCCTAGTGTTTTAGATTGCATTATTGTGTCTTGTAACTGCATATCTATTGTTGACATGGAGCCAGAGGTGGCAGTGTTCAAGAACTGATGGGAGAATACTTCAGTTTCTTGGAATGCTCCAAGGCAGATTCCGACGGGTAACACTGAACAATAATGTGTCAAGAAATTCAATTCTGTCTCACTTGGCTTAAACAGAGCCATAAACTTTTTATCTCCCTGTACATGTTAGTTCATTTATGCACAGTTGTGAGTATTATCCTCCAGTATTTGTATGTTTTATGGCAACAGTTTGTATTTCTGTTCTCTCTACTCATTTGGATTTCAGTCCTATAGTAACTTTGTGTATCTGTAGACTAATTTGTTATTTCATACCTGAGTTAGACAAAGATATTTCTCCACTGTACTTATATTTGGCTTTTGAATGTTTAGATGTGCTATATGTATACTCATGAATCCTTGTTGAATGGCCATGTTTAAGAGAACCACTGGCACCGTCTGCATTTCTGTTACATTTTACATTTCTCCTTGCATATAGATGTCTGCTTGCTGAGGTTCCTTCTGTGTGTCTGATGTAATGGGCTGTGATCTGTGAAAGTTTATGCTAAATAAAACTTGTTGGTCCTTAAGGTGTCAGAAGAATCTATGTTTCTATTGCAACAGAGAGAACTACGTCACTGGGAATGAGCTGGGGAATATTCACTGAAATATTCTCTAGGCAGAGGGAGTTTCTGTGTCAGAGGCAGAATGATCATGGCATTACAGGTACACTTTAGCACAGGATAGAACTGTAGTACCTGTCTTTGATAGCGTAAAACTGTTCAGACTGTAGTTTCTGTAGTTGCATTTTATTTTGTTTATCAAAAAGATACACAAGCCAGAATTCTATGTACTGTAGTTTGGTTCTTCGATTGTAGTCATTTCTCTGTCAGCTCCTATCAATTGACTGGACAACACGCTTCTTTGTCCTTGAAGCGGTATGCATCGGGGTTAGAGAACAGAATACTTAATTATATCAAACATAATATTGTTTATATCTTCTGTTTTTTGGGACCAGACTGATTAGCCCTAGGGCTTGCCTTAGTCACTGGCTCAATGAAAGGAGGTCCTTCTGCATTCCTTCCACTTGCATATAAGGCTTGGAATATAAGACTACCTCTGATAATTTTTCAGACTCAAAGAAGCTTAACTAAGTTGAAGCTTGATTGTTCTAAAATCAGCCTAATGATTGCCTCCCAGCCCAGTTTTATACCATCTATCCCAGGAAAAGGGCTATCCCATCCACATTGCTTGTTCCATTTGTACCAGATGATAGCCTGGTATCTTTGGTCAAACTGGTATGTGGTGGTTCTTCAGAACCTAAAGCTGTTACTGCTGACTAATTCCTCTTTTTCCTTCTCCTTTTGTGTTGCAACCAGGTTGCTCTCAGGCACAGCTCTTCCCGTTAGTTTATATCAAAATTGCATCCAAAAGCACATTTAGCACCTCTTTATTTATTAAAATAGCTCATTAAATAAGCCTCAGTGTTAAGTAGTCTTCCCTCCCCCCCCTCCATTTTTATGCTGCCCATCTGGCCGAGGCCACTCTAGGCGATTTACAGCACATAAATACAATTTAACATAACAAAAATTGAAATAATAAAATATGAGTAAGTACTAACTCAAAGCATAAAAATACATGAGAATAAAACATTTTAAAACATTCAAACCATTTAAAATATTTAAGATAGCGGATTGGTCAGATAAGCTAGGTAGACTCAGCTGAGCTTGCAGGTATGATGTTTTTGAATAGCCAGGGTTTTTGTGACTTTTTAAATGTTGCCAGAGAAGAGGCAAAACAGATTGCAAGGGGAGAGGTCATTCCAAAGCCGAGGAGCAATCGTTGGGATGGCCCAATTTCTCGCCTTCTCCCTCCGGGCCTCTCTTGGAGTTAGCATCCTGAGCCATCCTGCTTGGGATGTTCTTGTAGGATGGACAGATCTTGTTGGAAGTAGGCGTTCAGCTAGGCATTCTGTAATCTTATCTGTAACTTGGAAGGTATGTCTTATAGCTGCTTCCTGTATCTAATCTTAATTAAAACCATTGTCCGATAGCCTAAATAATCTTTTTGTAAATAAATTACTTTAAAAAAAATCTCTATCCTAAAGTCAAAGGAGGCATTCCAGAAAGTTACACTGCACACTTTTGATAGGAATCAGAGTGAAATCGATCAATATGGGACCAACATCCTCCTCAGTTTTGTCTTTTCCTGGGGAACATAAATTTTTGTTGTCTTATGTGGATGTCCAGTTCATTAAAAATGCAGAGAGAATGATTGAAAAACATTGAGGTTAGAGAGAGAGTACTGTACTCAAAAGTAAAATGGAAGTAACAGATGACTTATGAGCTTAAAGACCTGATCCAAACACAGGGAAAGGTAAGATAAGTAGAAGAGATTAGGATGATCCCTGTTTTGACCAGAAAGTAAATATGAACATCATTTTCTAATGGCTGAAACAATATTTTAATGAATTATGCATAGACTTTCTTGTCATAAACATTCACCAGATAACAAGATGAAAAATCTGGGCAATTTTATTTATATGAAAATAGAAGAAAAGGTGGTTTCTTCTCTTTTTCTTTGACATTTTTGTTATCTCCTTTCAAGTCACCTCTGACATGGTAACCCTATGAATGACTAACCTCCAAAAGGTCCTGTTCTCAGCTTTTGCAATCCTTGACATATTTTGGTCTCAATATTTATGCATTCTGTTTACTTCAGGAAATGAATGTTCCATAGAGCAAATGGAACATGTAAGAGGAATGCAAGAGAAGCTGGCTCGCTTGAATCTGGAACTTTATGGGGAATTGGAAGAACTCCCTGAAGATAAAAGAAAACTGGCCAGTGATTCTAATTTGGATAGACTGCTGTCCGATGTAAGTAAAATCAGAGGTCAATTGCTTTGCGCTGTTCTACCTGTATTCAAGAATTGGGGGAAGCATGGGAGGAGCACCATTAAAATTGTAGCAATGCAGTTTGCTTCAGCTGCTTGTTGAACAGAACTGTGAAGCTAGCTGAGTCCAGTGTGGTCTAAGTCTGGTCTTAAGAAAGATTGCAGTTTCAATTTGAATCAGTAATATTTGTTAGTTTGACCAGCAGAGGTCTGAGAATGGTGTGCTAATGCTGGTTTAATTTTTCGTTACTGTCAGGCTGAGTTGCAATTCTGTTGTGATCTTTAGGTATTACTGTCAAATTGAATCTAAAGTTTTTGTGAATGGAACTCTCTTCATGAGATGCTTCTGCTAGAAGAAATGGGAAGAGTTTAATTCTGCCTTCCTCCTGAAAAACTGCTGGGTGTTTGGTGCAGCTGAGGTGTAATGGGTTAGAAATACCTTCACACTTTCTGTAGCTTGAAACCCTATGCCATCTCAGTTCCATTTGTGAATAGAAGAGACATCTCAGGGCCTGATCATACCAGCCAAATGTATGAGTTATTTCCATCTCTCTGTTGTATTGAATCAAGATAATGTGATATTTATACCAGGGGAAGGTTGCCATTTGTATTAACGTTATCAATATATTTCTTCCTTTTTGAAATGTTGTGGTCAGCTACGCTATGGAACTGGATTTTTTTTTCTAATGTTTCCTGGAACAGTGCTGCCCCTTACTTTTATTTTGAAAGAAAATCTGTGGTGCAATAGGGAGGCCGGAGTCTTTTCTCCTCTTCCCCTTCCCCTTCCCAAAGGAGCACGATAATTTGCAAGATCAGATGGTTAAAAAAAGACAGAGGAAAAGCAACTCTTCCTATCAGTTTCCACGGGGGGGAGGGGGGGAGAATCTGAATGTCTTTTATAAAGCTCCTTATCAACATGCTCCTTATCCATAGATTTCTGACCTTTACACATCTGACAAGGAATTTATTTATGGTTTCAGAAGATATTGTATCTTGTTATAGTTATTTTAAATCTGGATACCATGTATTAATTTTGTCTTAAGAGTTCAAAAAATAAATCCTGTATTTTAAAAAGTTTATTTGGCAAGCAAGCAACTATGTAACTAAAAGCCAAAAATGTAAAATATTCTTGGAATATATGTAACAATTACATGAGTATATACTTTAAAAATCGCAGCCTTCTATTACATATTTCTCTAGTTCATATGTGTAAATAATACTTAAGTTAGAAAAGAAATTCTGGTTCTATTAAAACAAGCTTTTGGTTAGACATATAGGTGGAGTTCAGTGATTCAGAAATACAAAGCAAACAATTCTTTATAGTAAAAAGCTATTTTAGTAGCTAACTCTCATTCAGTCACTTAAAAACAAATTATTGCAATACAAATAGTTATAAAAACAATTATATCAAAGCATAAGCAAGAACATTTACAAATGACTCACATTGCATTAGATATTTCTTACACAATATTTTCCCAGCAGAGACGTCTCCCCTGTTTGTAAAAATCAGGTGGCTGTATTTTGGAGATGTCCTTCTAAACATGATGGAAATCTCTGTTTTTATGCACTTGGTGTTTCTTAAATCTCTGTTTTTATGCACTTGGTGTTTCTTAAACAACACAATAATGACACCAAACTTTTGCTTTCCCATGGGTAAGCAATGTCAGCTTCTCCAGACAGCTGTGGGTCAGCTCACCTGCCTGCCAAGATAGCTTGCAGCCAGGAAAATGCCTCCTTGGAATCCTTCCTTAATACCATATTTAGACAGTATAATAATACGTTTTGACTGTTTTTATGCACTTGGTGTTTCTTAAACAACACAATAATGACACCAAACTTTTGCTTTCCCATGGGTAAGCAATGTCAGCTTCTCCAGACAGCTGTGGGTCAGCTCACCTGCCTGCCAAGATAGCTTGCAGCCAGGAAAATGCCTCCTTGGAATCCTTCCTTAATACCATATTTAGACAGTATAATAATACGTTTTGAATGCCAGCTTCCTTCATTTTACATTTAAAATGTTCAACTCATAAATACTTCAGAATATTATGAGTTCATACTCATCATTGTTACCACACTGAATTAGGAATTATTACTTATTTACTATGAGGACAAAGTTTTTGTTTTTGTTTTCTACTTTCTTATCCAGAAACCAATTATTTAAAATAACATCCATATTTTTCTCCTCTTATTCTGGTTTGCCAAAACTACTTCTGTACGATATACTGTATGGTTATTATCATTGGTTTAAAGTGGTTTCCACATCTATTTCTTTATTAATTAACATTTTAGACAAATGTAACTCAAATGGCAAAATAAATGGCACTCCTTTTTTTTCTTTGTTATTGTCCACATCATGTAAACAGCATTGTTTTCTTTTTCATTGCAAAAACTGGCATGGAACTCAGTGAATGAGCTACTTCTGGCTTATCTTATCAGTTCTTTGTGTCCTGAAAACAAACTGGCTGTGCTTTTATTTTATAATATAAACTTATATCTCCAGCTGTGGTTGTTTTAAAAACTGCTTTCACTCTTTAAGCACCTCTCTGAAGCGCATTTTAAAAGGCTTTTATATTTTAGAGCAACACTTTTGCACCCCACTCAAATTATATATTTCCATATATTTTTTCTGCCACATATTTCTACTAAAAATCCATATTTGACACTCTCGCACCCCTGCACACCCTGGACAAGCCTGTTGAGAACAGATTGCAAAGCAGGTCCTGGAAGTTGTGAGGAGAGATCTGGAGCAAGAGGAGATGGGAGGTCAGGAAGAGCTTTGGATCATGGCTTTTTCCTCTCTGATTTGTGCCCTCTGGAAGGACCTCAATGAGATTTTCCCCCTCCCTAGCTGCTGGTCTCTGTGCCTCCACCCCCTCCCACCTGTCAAAGGAACAAGGAGGAACGATCAGGGATGTCCTGCCTGACATCCATGGCTGTCGTAGTGCAGTCCATGCACATCCCTGTCAATCTAATCTTCCCCTTCTCCACAGCACCCAGAAACCTGTGCCCTTTGCAAAGGAAATAAATTGACAGGAGTATGTAAACATGCAGTACAAATATTGAATGAATCAAAATGTCATCACTACATAATAAAACAATCCTCCTAGTGAGGGCAAAATAAACCACAATTACAGCGCTGGCTGAGGAAATGATTCAATCATGGTTACGTGTTGCGTGACCAGAAATTTATGAAATGATGTAACTGGAGTATAACTGGGGTACATTTGACTGGTGTGATCAGGTTCCAAGTTACAGTTGGAATGCTGTGGGCTTAATTAATTTAAAATTGGTTGTGTGGATAATGCATTAATAGAGATGTTTACCATGTCATTCTGTTTCCTTGCATTGCAGCTGGAAGAACTGAATTCTTCTATGTATCCTTTCAGAAAAGTGTCTTGTCTTGAAAAAATCAGGATACGTGGTTAATATGTCCCAAACAGGAAATGAATTGTACTGCCTAGTCCAAGTTAAGACAGCTTAACATCAGTTGAGACACTCATAAACCTATTTTTAAGCATACAAACCTGAAATCATGTCACTGTTTCTTTTTGTTTTGCAAATAATATCACTGAAAAGTTAGTTCTGGTGTTCTCATTTTTGTCTCCCCTGTCCCAATTCATTTGTTATTCTTTCCCTCTAAATCAATTTCTCTTCTCTCAATCTTCTCTTAGTGGTTCTGGGCATTACTTATAATAATTCATGATTACTTTTATATGAATGTATAGTTCAGTGGTTAGAATGTTGGACCAGAACTGGACAGAACTACATCCACATACACTTTCAGTGTTCAGTGGTTAGAATGTTGGACCAGAACTACATCCACGTACACTTTCAGCTATGAAAGAGATCTAAATGTGTGCTTTGGCATTGCATGATCATTTGTCTCAATGTAGTGTGAGTGATGGATATCCAGAGGGATGTGGTGGATAGAGTGAAGGACTGGGACTCAGGACACCTGGGTTCAAATCCCATCCTAGCCATAGAAGCTCACTGGGGTGGATGGCACAGGTAAAACCACTCCTTAAACATCTCGCTTCTCTTGAAAGCACTATTAGGGTTTCCTATAAATTGGTTCTAATTAGAGATGGGGTGAACTTTGGTGGTTTGGCCCAGTTTGGTGTGGCACCTGCACGGGTGTTCTGTGGGCACTGCACACTTCCCTCCCCCCACCTCCTTTACCTGTTTGCACACTCCCATGTGGCAGCATGCTTCTCCCCCCCCCCGGCCTTCCCCAGGGGCCAGCCGCTCACTGGCAGCAGCACACACTTCCGTCCTCGGGTGGCAGCCCACCCACTCAAGACAGAGCCACAGACTTCCCTGCCCCACCTGGTCATCTGAGTGTGTGGCTGCTAGAGCAGGTGGAGGAGGAAAGCACGCCCTGGTGCTGGTGAGTGGCTGGCCACTGGGGAAGGGGAGTGTGCTGCCTCCTGTGAGTGGGTCAACGCATGAAGGAAGCGAGGGAGAGAAGGTCACCGTGCCTACGGAACACCTGTGCGGGTGTCGCACCAAACTGGGTCAAACTGCAGTTCATGCCCATCTCTAGTTCTGACTTGGTGGTTCTGACCTAACAACAAAGTTGTAAAGAATATAGGAATTATTCAAATCTCAATATTTGTTGCAAGAAATAAATATATGAGTGATGTGAGTTAAAAAGTTAGTAACACAACAAAAAAAATTATGTGCTGCAGATCCGGTCATCTCTCCCTTTCTCATAAGCTTCTATTTGGCAGAAGCAGCTTTTTTTTCTCCTGCTACCAAGTAGCTGTGAGAAGGAGAATTTTGTACAGATTGTGTACAGAGTGGGATGGGGAATGTTTTTTCTTAATCTGTCCTTCCTCTCCATAATCCTAATTCTGATTAATTCCTCTCTCTGTGGCTGCTATTATGTTTTTTTTTTAAAAGAGAATTGGTCAGTGCTAATCTAAACCTTGTATGTAATGTGTCATTTAAAACATTTTTTCAGCCTTAGCTGTCTCACAGGTAATTCTGAGGACAAAATAAGAGGCAGGGAACTGTCTGTTATATTCCCAGATCTTTTGAGAAAGAGAGGAGATGTCATAAACAGTTGTGGCAGGGGGGCATTTAAGAAAAATGTGAAGCGCACTTTCCTGTGTTCTTTTGCCTTCTTTTAAAGACTTGCTTCTCCAGTCATTATCTCCAATTATACCAGAAAAACACTAGCCTTTTACCGTCAGTCCTCAAAAATACCATTCCTTGACTGTTTGCTGCAGACAAAAACTTCACTTAGCAGATGTTCAAGATGTTCCAAATACCAGCACAACCTAAAAAAATGTGACTTCTTAATTTGTTTTATGAATCCAGGGTGTCTTATTTAATGTTCAGTGGACTCTTTTTCGCTTCGGCAGCAAAGTGTTCAATTGCAAGTGAACATGTTGAAACATTCCTTTTAGCGATGTGAGCACTATAACCTTGTAAACGTTAGGCTCCAAGGTATGATATGACCCTGTTTTGCTGCTGTGCTTTGTTTACTGCCTTATCTAGTGCAAAATGATGGGGAGATTTGGAAATGCATCTTTATAATGTAACATACTCAGCTTCAATTGAGTTAATAATAGAATGTGGTATTCTTGTTGCCATTCCATCAAAGTAGACAATCAGCCTACAGATTCATGTGATTATATTGTTTCATGAGTATGTAATTTATTTAAAGAATAAAATCATTTTAAAGATTGCTGGTTTTTTGTTGTTGTTTTTTTGGTAAAGCTACCTCTGTGAGGATCTCAGTTATTTCTAATATTTGAGGATGGGGGGGGCTATACTACTCAGTTTTCATTGTCAGTCTTCATTGTCAGTCTTATTTTAATACATTACCTGGGAACCAATGATGTTTGAAGTAATCATAAAATCAACACTTATTGAAAGCTGGTATCTCTTTGTTTAGACAAATTTATTACATATAGGAAACTTTGTCAAATAACAATCTCTCCTTGCTGTTGTGTGACTCATTGTCTTCATCTGAATATCATAATGGCAACAGACAGGGCATTAAAAGACTATAACAACATTTACAAAATCTGTTACTAACAGAGCGCTTTTTTTCACTTTCTAGATTTGGATGGTAAACATAGGCCTGAGACTATTATTTTTAAATTTCTGCTTTATTTTTTCAACTACTACTGTATTTCAAAATTTAAATTAAGAATGTTCAAAACATAAAAAGACAGAAGGAGACAAACATTATGAGCATCTATTAAACACACTGTTCATACGTTAATACTGTATTTATGTTTGTTTCACACTTTTTTCCTTCAGGACGACCTGTTTAGATTCTGTTCAGAATGCTATACTTCAGATATACATAGTAACTACTTTTAAGGAGTAAAGAAATGAGATGAATGAAGCTCTGCTTTTGAAGTGCTTCATGTATGTAGGCAACTTTTTTTCCTGTTAAGGGCTGCATTTCTATTCAGACTAATCTGTGAATTTTGTATGTGTGTGAGAGAGTGATTGTACATCTTTCCTGAGGAAAGGCAATATCATACTGAGGACCCCACCTTCATTTAATTGTGAGGCAGTGCTCTTTACCTGTCTCCAGTTGACTGATTTTGCCTGTTGTGCCACCTAAATTTAGTCAGTCAGTCAAACTTTATTGAAGAAGTCTACAGACGATTTCATCAATCATTCACCATATACAATAACATCATTGAATTTTATAAACTTACAAAGGATCGGCTCTTACATGAAAAAAGAAAAATGGATCACATATATCTCATATATAAACCAAATAGCATTATATCAATCAGTCCTCAATCTAAGATAAATTACTATTAATCCCATAAAGCCTTAATTTAAAATCCTTATAGAACTCTGTTATATAATTAAAAAACAACACATTTCTTTTCATCCTCTTTCTAAAGGAGGCTTCCTTGACCCCATAAACAGCAACTCTCTGTGTTATGAACATGTTGGATCCACACAAGAAGTAGTCTATTCTCTTGTCATCCCATGTCCTCATCCTATTAAAGAGCAGGGCAAAGCAATGTTTTCTAATATTAGCATATAACTGACAGTGCAGCAAATAGTGGGCAAGATCTTCTTTATCATTCCCACATGGGCAATGTCTATTTTATACAGGTATGCCCCAAAAATGACCCCACTGCATCATTGTATCCATTTGTTCAAAGTGGAGTTGTGTAAAGGCCACATGCAAGTCTCTTTTTATTGTAAAGGACTAATATTTTTCTTCCTGAAACTGGGCTTTAGGCCCAGCCAGCCATTGCACAGATTTTAAAGGTGTTAGTGCAGCTAGGCCTGTCTGAGCTCTAATATCTAAAACTCATTGTTTAAAAACAGCTAAATTTAGTCTCTAGCTTTTCTTACATGAAGGTTGCCAGGTTCCTAGGTGCTTCTCTTAGCCATGCAGGAGCTACAGTGGTGCCTCAATTTACGACCAGCTCTGGCTGGAAAATTTTGCTTTGACTTGTGACCGGAGCTTTGAGTTATGATCGGAAAAAAAGGCAGGGGAAAGTCAAGGAAATTTGAACTGCTAACTGTTGGTTGGCAAAGAGACTGCTTCTTTGTAGCTCCTTTGCCCCAGCAGTTAGAGTGCATTTGGAGGAGGCTTTGGACTGCCTGGTAAAGTACTGCTTTTTGCTTTTTAAAAACTACCTGTTCTGGGTGGGTTTTGCAAAGTGTGTTTGGGCTGGGTGGTGGGGTTATGTTTCTATGTCGTGATGGGTCTTGCAGTGTGTTTTTAGTGTGTTTTTGGTGGGGGGGTTCGGCTGGAATGGATTAATCACGTTTCTGATAGCTCTTGCAGTGTGTTTTTAGTCCCTGCTGGAATGGGTTTGTTTGATTCTAGGGGGTTATGTTTCTGTGCTTTGATGGCTCTTGCAGTGTGTTTTTTAGTGTGCTTTTTTGGGGGGGGTCGGCTGGAGCAGATTAATCGCGTTTCAATGGATTCCTGTGGGAAATGGTGTTTTGAGTTACAGCCATCTCCTGAAACAGATTAAGTTCCTAACTCAAGGCACCACTGTATATGCAAAGCAGTGGAGAAGGCATTAAGTGACTAGCAACCTTTCTCTATAGAAATTGAAGGAAACAATTGTAGATCCCCTGAGGTGAAACTTGATACTACAAGCTGGTTCTACAAGTTTGTAGCTTGTTTTGGAGTTTTTACGGTAACTACAGATCCTGAAGTTTCAGCGCCTGGCCTGAGTGAGTTTTCAACCTTTTTGTTCCCACTCTATCCCATACCTCTGTTCTGCAATACGCAGCCAGTAGAAATGTCGTGCATGACTTGAAAACTCACTTTAAAAAAACATTTAGTAGTTTTAAAAAGTATTAACTGCTCTCTTTGGATTTCATATAAGAATTACAAGGCTTTTTTCTTTTACATATGAATACTTACTAAAGAGATGCACCTTGCCAAACAAGCAAGAATACAATATACACTGATCCAGCTTCAGTGGGGTAGCTGACTCTGAAGATCATCTCTCAGTTTTGGATGTAAAGAAAAAATGAGGGCCATCATTCCTTGGGCAGCAGGGCTTTTATAATCCACCTTCAGCTATAGATCTTTCTATTCCACATTCTTGAGGATCAGTAGAGCTTCCAGAATGGTGCATGATGTTACAGCGGGGGCTGCACTGGAATATGTGTGTGTGACTGCTAGCATGTTCACACAGGGTGGGAGGGGCATGGAAGCCTTTCTCAGTCATGGGCTCTGTAAAGTCCAGACTCCTAGAGCTACTGAAACTGGATTTTATTAAAGTAGGGGAATGGAGTACATGGAAGTAAGGGACGCTGGCTGCAACCCCAGCCAGCCAGTTTGCTGAGTGTATAAGCTGACTTCACTAAACCCCGCCCCCACCAAATCTAGTCTTTACCTGAGCCTGAGTTCCACTCACTGGGCTTGGGCTATCTCCAGTCCATGGTTGATGCTGGGCTTTTGTAACACTCGCTAATCAACTAACTCTCTTCAGGGAGGACTTCTTTGCCAGACACTCACAGGTTCCCAGGCCCCGCAGGTCCTCTTGCCTGCAGCACTGGCACTTCTGGCGCTTCCTCCTCCTGTGCTGCTGTTGGGGTGGGGTGGGTGCTGGGTGCCCAGTTGGCCTTCATGATGTTGGGGAAGGGACCACTGTCAATGGTGGGCTGAAGTCTGGGGAGCCTCCTCTACATTCTCATTCCTCAGCAACCTGGACCTGGAACCATACCCTTGTCAAGGGGTTCATGACAGTCCGCATGTCATCCTCCCTCAGAGCACAAAATATTGGGTCCAGTTTCTCTGATACCTCTCCCCACTCCTCTGTCCCTGATTCTGCACAGGACGCCAAGCTCTCTCCTCCTTTTTTCTGTTCCTCCCTTAAATTAGACTCCCTCCAACTGGGCCTGATGTCCACCCCTTTGTCCCCACCTAGATCCTCCATCTCTCTCTCTCTATATATATACCTTCCTTGCTCCCAGCTACCAGAGCCTCTGTCAGGCCCACCTGGGTGTGCAGAGTGAGATCCCAGAACACTTTCTCATAGTGTGGAACCTGTTTGCACAATCCAGAGTATTTCTGATACTCAGTTAAGCAATGGATGAACAAGATATTGAGATCATGGATTGCATTTGTTTGTGGATCTGGTGATGAGTACAGTGACAATGGGTAATACCAAGACACACACATGCACTCAAACACACACACCCTGTTCTGGGGTTTGAATAGATTAAGATTGACATGATCCTATTTTAAAATCACTGTCTGAAATCCTGTTACAGAGTTAGGTTTGGTTAACCTGAAGTTGTGCAAGGGCTAATGATATTGGCACCAAGGCAGAAATCATGTTTACTAAGTAGTAGGGCAAACATGCAGTGTAGCTAGTCACACCATGAATTGTACAATCAAATTGCACAGTCAAAGCTGCCTGGGCAAACTACTCTGCAAACGTCTGCAGGCGTAACTTTGTTATGCTAACTGCAGCTGGATTTCAGCCACTATTTAGTAGTAATTTAGTAGTAACCAGAATTAGCTGGAGGAGTCAGAGCTTTAATCACTCCATCCCACTACCTCCTTGTATTCCTGGTGAGGACAGTGTTTTCCTGCTGCTAATCAAAAGAGGAAGAAAACATCAGTGCCGAAACAGTGATCAGTTCCGGGGGGCGGGGTGGTTGGGGCACCCTGGGATTCTAGGTCATGCAGATAACTGTGGGGTTGCATGGCCTTTGGACCGCAAATTATCCATGTGCAATTTAAGTGTCTTCTGCTCACTCAAGGAAGTTTCTTGATCCAAGGAGGTGGAGGTCATTCTGTGTAAAAATAATAATATATGAGATACTTCCTGTAGCTTCTTAGGAGAGGTATGAATAACAATTACTGTAGTTGCATGAAATGGAATTTGTGTACTTCTTCAGTCTTATTCTGTTTCATCACTGACTACATCTTGCAGTGGCCTTGGATGCCAGATGGGCTGTAAATCAAATAAACAAATATTAAATAAATTGTCTGGATAAAGTCATTGTAAGTACTTACTTGCACCTTTTCATCCTGGCAGGACTGCCATCCTTTACTAGCTGTGTGAGAAGTAGAAATCTCTTCATCACTGTTCTCTCCAGAACTCTCATCAGAGGTAAAGGTTGCCATCTCGAGAAAGATAGGCCGACAACTACACTGCTTCAATGATATTAAAATCCAAGGGACTATTTCATTCTAAGTAGATTCGGAATGAGTCCAGAGTGATAACAAAAATCATTTTCTCTTGGTCTTGCCTCAGCCAGGCTTGGATGTCAGCCCAGAGTGCACTCTAGTGTGTACCTTGGTTTCTATGGAGATGTAGGGAAGTACTAACCTTCAGCCATTGCTACAGCAGTCCTTGTTTCCAGTGTGCTCCTTACACAGGGAAAAATTGTCTCTTGAGGTAAAGTAGTAATTGTTCTGACTAATTATTTGTTCAAATAGTGTAGAGTATACATTAATCTGCTTTGTTTTGCTGTGTTTTGTAAACTGTAGACGTTGATATGGCTGTCCGTAAACTCAGTAGACTAAAAGTATGGTTGGCTATTCTTTCCAAAGGAAAAAGAATGAAAGTTAGTGAAAGCAAGATAGAAAGTTGAGCAAGATGTATTTTAGCAGAGGAGGAACGTGAGGGCTCCGTTATTCCAGCAACGTTTTACCAACTTTGACTTTCAGTAACTTCATTTTAATTCCCAATAATTCTGCCATAATTTTTGTAGGCAAAAAAAGCCCTTGTTTTGATTTATTAGACTTTTTGAGGAAGAGGAGCTTATATTATAATGAAAACTCTTACATTATTGATAATGATACAAAAGATCATTATTTTCTCTAAAGCTATTGGCAACATGCTGGATTCTGAAATTTATAGGAAAACCCCATTTGGAGAAGTGAAGCATTGCAAATAATTTCAAAGCAAAGGCATTTGATCATTTAGAATTATGCAGAGTTATATGATGACAAGTTTCATTTCAATATAATAAACATCATTTTAGAAGGTGTAAAAGCTCCACTTCATCTATCAGAGGCTGAAGAAGTGTGACCCATCGGCTACATAAATAGACACAGAGAGCTTTTTTTGTACCCTCTGCCAGATACTGGCTGCTACGACTACTAGAAGCATGCTGTAAAATTGGATGGCACCGAAAGGAAAAAATCATTTTTCCTTTCCAGAAAGGGTGCTGGACTGTATTGCACAGGTAGGCACTCTGGCATGGGTATCTACGTGCTGTCTCCCAAATTTTGGCAGTGTCGATGTTGCAGCTCTGGTAAGTTGGGAAATGTGTGTCGTGGTCCATCATGAGCTCTTGAATTAACTTTATGAACAAATTAATTTTTTGTAGATCTCTCATCTGTCAAAGTGTAATAATATGAAGTCATCATTTCAATCATGCCTTATCTCTGAAGAGTTCTGGGTGGCTCATAGTAACATACATTCGCTCATACTGGCTCATACGGGCAAAATAGATATTGAGCGTAGAATTGTTTCCAGAAAGTATAACTTTTAAAAAAACAAAACCTCTTTTAAGCCATCATGCTATTGCATGTTTTAATCTATTTTAAGTCATCCCATGCCAAGCCTGTATTCTACTGATGTTCCATATTGAAGTGCTTCTGTTTGTCCCCTTTCCTTTTTCCTGTTGTGGTGGTCTCGCTTTAGAGAAATTAAACACATAATAGTAATACGTAATAAAGGTTGGGAGAAAATGGGAGGAAAATTAAATGCATGGTCAATATGATCTACGAGTTTCATTATCTGTTGTAATCAGGATGTATCTGTATCCAGTATTTAGTATTATTCAGGAAGAAGAGTCATAGCTGTCTTCTATTTCCAGGAAACATCTACAGTCATCCTGACTAACAAAAAGTACATAGCAGACTTTTTATGAGAGAAAAAAAGATGCACGTGGTTCCACAATGACCACAGTATATACGGCACATACACCATATAGCATTAAACAGTGGCATTTGGAAAGCTTAGGAATCCTTGGAGGATACCCAGTGACCTCAAGTCAAAATCAGACTATGGATGTCTTTCACACTCGATTTAGTACTTGGACACCTTTTGAAAATAAAACTCTTAACAATCAGGTAAGTTAAAGTCTACTTAAATTAACAGGAGTAAGACATCAACACCACTGTGCTCTTTACTTCTGATCTTAATTATTCCTTCCATACCTTCCTTCTCCCACAGCTGTCATAATTTAAACAGCAACTGGTTTAATGTTTTATGAAATACATCTGTTGTATGCCAATGTCAGTTTTCAGTGCATCATATAGATAATTCATTTAGGAGAAGATCTAAGCATAATATCATGAAATGTTGCTGATTCCAAAATGTAATTAATGGAATGGTCTAGTCTTAATGAAACTGCCCTTCAATAGAACTGTGTGATTTTGCTTAGCTTTTTCAGGAAAGAATCAGACTTATAGGTCACTGGTTTGACTTGTGGATGGACAAGCAGCGTAAGCAATTTCTCCAATGGATTTTATCCAAATGCAATAAGTCACAATTGAAGTAAGTAAGCCAACAGTACTTTTCTGAGTTCTGTTTTACAGTATGAAGAAGAAAGTCAGTTTTTCAAGAATATCTGCTGCAAGGTGGATCTTTTACCCAAGCCAACACTTTCATTTCTGTAGAGTCCATAATTGTCATCACTGTGATCTTAGCAAGTTAAGAACTTGAATTTAAAGATCTGGAGTCAGGAGTTTAGGCCACACTGTTCTTATAAGATGTGCATTTCTATTGAAAATTTGTCTTGTGAGATATAGTTTGATTTTTAAAAATTATTGGGTTTTGTTGCAAAATATATGTTTATTTCTATCAGTTTGTTCATTAAACTATTTCTTTTGCTCGATCAAACAAAATATTTAAAATTAAGGCAAATCTGTTGCTACCTGAACAGTTTGCAGAGAGCCCGTGTCTCTAAAACAGAATGTGTTTTCAGATATTTTCGGACAATAATTCTCAGCAGTTTTTGCCCTTAGTATGCTGGTTAGGGCTTGTGTGAACTGAAATCAACAATGTTTCAAGCCACACCTTATCCAGTTCTATTCTAGAAATATGCATAACAAGCAGAAATCCAACAGATACAGCTCTCTCCTATTATTGCAGACTCCATGTCAAGAAAATTGAGCTAATAATTTTATCCTTATAGTAATCTACTAGATACAGAACTTCTGCTCAGGAGAAATGATGGTTACTCTAAAAATTAAATCGACAGCCATTAAATCAAAGCTGTAGTTGAATGTACACCTTTGTGAGGCCAAAGCAAGCAGGAGCACAATAGCTTAAACTAAATTTGGAGCATGTATATTGAACTGTCTTCTAGAAAGGGTAACATGTGAAATGAAGTTGAGTGTTGCACATCCATAAATACGTAGAAAATAGTGGGATACACAAAATGCAATAAGCAAATATACCTAAAACCATGATTTACTGTAATGTCAGAAAATAAGCTATTCACAAACTACAGATTCTTTGAACCATAACCCCTCCTACCATTCCAAGGATCACAGTTTGAAACTCACCCTTCAAGGAGATGGGAGTGAACTTACAGTTATAACAAGCTAAGAAATGAGGAGTGGGGTGAAAAGGTAAACAGATGACAGCATCCATCTAGAGTATTGTGCCTATTTCTTAAAATACTCTTTTAAGAAGGATGCCAACAAACTGGAACAAGTTCAGAGGAGGGCAACAAGGATGATCAGGAGACTGGAATCCAAGCCCGAGGAGGAGACTGAAAGAGCTGGACATGTTTAGCCTTGAGAAAAGAATACTGAGGCACTATAGGATAGCACTTTTCAAATGCTTGAAAGATAGTCATGCCAAGGAGGGGCAGGATCTGTTCTCGATCATATCAGAAGCCAGATTTCAGCTGAATATGAGGGAAACATCTTAGCTGTTGGACAAAAGTGGAACCAATTACCTCTGGAGGTGGTGGTTGCTCCAGTGCTGGAGGCATTCAAGATAAAATTGGGCAACCATTTGTCAGATCTATTTTGATTTGCATTCCTGTATTGATCAGAGGGCTGGACTCAGTGACCTTATAGGCTCCTTCCAACTCAATTATTCTATGATTTTATGAAAAACTACTTTGTCTCTGTTTTGGAAACTACATTTGGTTCGTATTTGAGATTCAAACCATGATCTGGGTTCTTAACTGTAGTTGGACAAACCAGACAGTGTCATTGCCATGTCATTCTGGGCCTTCAGAACAATATTCCTGGATCTTTCTGATACCAGGGTGGGGGTCGGGACTATTGTGCTGGCACCAGGAGTATAACTGCTCAGTTGGAGATACCCTGTTTGTTTGCCTATTCTGCAGATTTGCTCAGATGTGGCTTTTAGAAACTATCCCAATGACTGAAGTAGACTTCACCACCTTGCTGCCACGTTTCATATCTTTGTACATATTTTCTTTTCTCAACCCCAAAGATCTTTGTGCAGCAGCCCAGGTCAACTGGCACTGGAAGTTTTTAACTGAACAGGTAAGCCTAGGTTGCCTATGAACCCTAGCAAAGCCAATATTGATTGTTAGAAAAAAAAAACCCACTGCTTGTCTGTTATAACCCCATTCAGGTATAATTTTTCCAGTTTAGAGTAAGCAAGGAGTGGGGCCACACTAAGTACATGTGCCTGTTGCATCATGTGCACACCACCAGAGAAAGTGCCCTCACTTGTAGACCTACATGCTATGGACTTGCTCCCATACTGCTTTATGTAGGATCAGTACTACCTGAATAAAAATTATGTTAATGAACAAAACCTGGCTGCTCTAATATATATTTGGATGTAACTGAGATTTTGTCTCCCACAAACATGAACACTGATTTTTGTCAGCAGAAAATTTCATCCAGTGAAGGAATCATTGGCAGAACAGAGGAGTAATTGATTCTAGCAATTTTCCTCTTCCCAACACGATCCCTGAACATCTGCTCTAGAGGGGTTGGGGCTTCTCTAGAACAGTGGGTGGTACTAGGGGATCTGACCATCTAGTATAGACTGATTCATATTATTTGGATCAGTTTGGACTTAACATTGGGATGAGGCAGTTTAAGATTACAAATTTTCTCTTAAGAATCTTACGCAAATATTAATCTCCTACTCTCAGATGCTGAAGAATTATGTTCTGTTTGCCTCTCTGACCCTTTCATTCCCATCCCCCATGAGAATGAAACCAGTTAGATTCTTAAAGTACAGATGAATCCAAACACCTGCTGACCTTGAGGTGTTGGAAATTACTCAGGATTACCCTCGTCTTCACCTATCTTTGTGCCAGTATAATGGCTGCTTCCCTAAGATGGAAGAGATTTAGATCTGGTGTAAATCAGCTCCTCTCTCCTCCACCTCTTTTATTGGCTGATCTGTTAGAAAAGATGTTAGCCAGCGGGACTCTGACGCCAGCCAGCGAGAAATTGTGTTTTGTTCGCAGAAAGTGATATCAACCTATTTCTAACCTACTACAGCTGGCACATCTTTTAATTAAGATGGAGTGTGGGATTCATAGGCTTTTAAACCCACGTTCTCTAACAGTGCAATCGTAATGGAAAAATGTGCACGCTGCAGAGGCTTTCAAATGGGCTGAAACCAGTTTTGCTGGCACAACATACCTTGAGTTGGCAGAACCCTCTCCTGCTAGCTGATCTCAGAGATCTGCTGCCTGAAGGATGTGCTAATGCAATTTCTATGCTGGCTATGTTCAGCCACCTTAACAGCTGAAAAGAGGTATAATATGGGAAGGAGGTATAGAGGTTCAGAACATACCTGCAATGCTAGAATAAATGCATGTAAAAAGGAGGGTAATCCTAAAATAATTTCCCACATTCCTGATCTGATTGGAATTTAGAATCAGCAAAGTTTCACTTGGCCGTCAAATATCTTGGCTAGTTAATATTATTCTCAAAGTTAGGAGTGTATAAGCTTTATTTCAGTCTGAGAATAATTTTCAGACAAGATAGAAGGAAATAATAAGAATTTGCATACATGATTCTATGCCACGATCTGGGTATTTAACGAGTAAGATGCAGCCAAGCCAATTTACAACTATTGAGTTAATTTAAAAGATGATTTTGCTATTACCCTTATGATGCTTAGATGAGAGTTTCCATATGAAAACAATTTTTTTTTGCTTTTCTTACCCACAGGATAGTCTATGGATGCCAAAAGCTATTAAATTGGGATGGTTTCTTCCTTATACTTCTGAAAAAAATGAATATGGTGTTTGGAAGCAACATTATATTGCCTGTGCAACCAACCCAGATTACTTCGCTCCCAAGAAAACTGCTGAAACACATAGAACTAATCAATCTAAAGCTGAACATGAAGAAAAGATGCATGAAAAATGTTTACGAAAAACTTTGAGAGAGACATGGGCACTACACAAGAGTAAGTTGGTTGAAGCTATGACGTCTTTCAGTTATTGGTAAAGGACTTACTTGGAGAACAAGTGTAACTGAACTAAGTAGGGCTTGCTTCTGTGTAGCAATATAGAACTGGGTTAGAGTGTGGCCTTCCAGACATTGCTGGACTCCAGTTCCCACATAGCCAGTGGTGAATGATCATGGAGTTTGAAGTTCAAGAACATTTGGAGGTGCACAAGTTGCCCACTCCAAATGTTATAGGAGTATAAAATGGCATTTTAAACTCAATCCAAAAGACACACGTGCCCCCCTTCCAGTGATGAAATCAACTGCAAGCAATTCAGAATTTTATGGCACAGATAAGTGGAGAACATGGGTTGATTGTGCTATGATTCTTTTTCCTTCACATAGCAAAATGATTTTAAAAAATTGTGCCACAGTCTTCCAAGAATTTCTCCTGCATAAATTTCATGATAATGAATGGGGCTTGTGCACAGGTATGGTTATATTCTTGAACAATTACTATTATTTTAATTTTTTTTTCAGTGGGACTTTCATGGTTAATAGTCTGGAAATTTTCTTGTAGAGTTATTTCCAGTTGTTGCCCCTGTGAAAGGCAGGTTGTGAAACCAGGGTTTTCCTACCCTTCACTCTCCTGAAAGCCTATATGGTTAAGGGCTGCTGCTGTTGGATTTGTTACAGACTCACCAGCATCCCATGGGTGCCTCTTCATACCCTGCACTGCAGCTACCGGAAGGGTCATATATTTCCTCACTTCCTGTCCTGTCTCAGATGCATGATGAGTCCAAGTCCACATACTCACTAGGTGGTCTCTCACCAGTTTCCTCTCCTTGTCAGGTCAGAAAGTCTGCTTGAACAGTTCTGGCTACAGAACTTCATATGCCCTGAGGAATAATCACAGCTGTTCATCACAGCTGCCATTTATCCTGTTTATGGTTAATTCCAGAATGAATTTAGACAATCAGTTCCAAACTGTATCAACATCCATTTCGGTGTCAAGATAGAAGTCTTTTAATTGTTGGATCTTTTAGGCCTTGGATCCTTTAAGAGAAAGGTGGCACATAGACAGACAGACAGACAGACAGACAGACAGACAGACAGATAGATAGATAGATAGATAGATAGATAGATAGATAGATAGATAGATAGATAGATAGATAGATAGATAGATAGATAGATAGATAGATAGATAGATAGATAGATAGATAGATAGATATGAGAGAGAGAGAGAGAGAGAGAATGATTCAAGCAACATCAGCTTGTCTAATTCTACAAGCTTTATTAATCTACATTGTTCCTATGTTCCATAAGCATAAAAATACTTCAAATTTATGGAAAACATCCAAAAGACTTACACCTATGGAAAACTGTAGGCACAAATGTTTTTTTAAAAAATGTGAAAACTAAACTTACATTTCTGAATTCAGTCAAAATACATGAACATAAAAAGTACAGTGAAAATATCACAGAGAATGTTTAAACTATGTTCTAAAAGCAGGAACTTGTGGCTAAAAAGGCACAATTAAAAAAAAGCAGAGAATGCATCTCTTAAAATATCAAAGCTGTTCAAAGTAAGAATATATTAAAGAAAATCATTTCTTAGCCTCTAAGCATATTATAATAAAACACAGAAAATTATTCTATGTCGTACTCAGCCAAACAAGTTTGAATCTATAGAGTAAAAATCATGTTGTCCTTGTCTGCTGCTGTCATTGTTGGTGCTACATGATAACTGACACTCCCTGGTATCAGTGTTGTCAGTATCTGCATGTGTGTGGTGTGATGTGATGGAATGCATTGTTGTGTTGTGTTCCCTATATGTGTTGCCTCCCTATATTTATAGTTGTCTCAGATGTTTACATTTCCCCTTTAAACTATCAACTTCTATTTTTTGTGGAGCTGTATGTACAGGGTTTTGATTCACCATGGAAAAAATTATAATAGAAACCTCTATCACTTTTACAACTCCTGTAAACTCATAAAAAGACTATTCAGATATTAAGATAATCAGGAGAGGCCTTTTTTCTCAGTTCCACCACCTTCACAGGTGTATTTGGTGGTGACACAGGAGAGAGCCTTCTCTGTTACTGATCCCAGACTTTGGAACTCCCTCCCACAGGAGGCCAAACTGGCCCCATCTTTCCTTCCACAAGCAGGCAAAGACTTTTCTCTTCAGGCAAGCTTTCCCTCAGTGACTGGCTGCCTTAGTGACGTTTTTAAATGGATTTTTGTGCCTTAGTGCTTTTAATGTGTTTTTAGTGTTGCTTTTATGTTTTAGTGTTGTATTTGCTTGATCCTTTTTATTTATATACCTACTGTTCCTAGCTTTAAATTTTGTCCTTTAATATTGTAAGCTGCATTGGATCCTTTTTAAGGAGAAAGATGGGGTAAAAATATTTCCTCCCTCTCTCCCTACCTACAATTGCTGCAGATCAGAATCTGACGAGCTGCCACTATGATGATAAACATTATTATTTTGACTAATAATTACAGAGCCTACAAATTTCAATGGGTGTAAAATACAGTAGAGTTAAGTCACAGGATTTGCAAATATCAGCTGCTAGTCATGTCAACAATTTGCGACAGTCTACAATACCAGTTATCCAATATACTTTCAATTCTCTCATGTCAGCCATGAAAGAAATTCCTTTGCGAGGTAATGCTTCTGTATAGTGGGGAGCTGATTTGCAGTGATGCTTAGTAAACTGCAGTTCAAAGCTCATTTTTAAAACACAGTTAAGGGCTGCTTTTTCTGTATCCCCCCTTATTTATTTTAACACTTCATACATTAAATATTTCCCATCTTGACACCCTCCCTCTTGTTTTTTAAGGGTACGAATGTTGTGCTGGTGCAATGCATAGACAAACACCATCATGCTGAGTTTAATAAGCCATGGCATTAGCTGGAAAAAAGTAGAGATTCCCCCCCACCACCACCAAGCTTTAAAATATCTTACACAAAGAACAGAGTTCTTTGTCAGTCCTGGATGATCACAGCAAAACTCTGAGATAGCCTTCTCAGATTTAGTAGCGTTCATTAGACTAACTCACTTACAGGCTGGAGATAAAACTTTACAAGCAATGTTTATTATATCTGTTGTGAATAAGAAACAATCATCAAAATTATTACTACGGCAAGCACAGAAGAGATAATTGGACCATGAGTAATAATCTTCTCTTATACTTTATAAGAAAATAAATACAAGATCATTCATATTTTATTCTTGTCATTGTATATGAAGTTCTAGTTGTATGTGAAGTGAAAAATATGATACGACATACTGTATGTATGGGTGGTGTGTTGTTTCCATGCAGTATATGCACCATACATGCGGCAGTTTTGTTCAGCTTGGTTAACTCTAGCTCTAGTTTGAGGACCATATGTTTTTGAACTATTGTATAATGTGCCAGCCACAGAGAGGTACAAGACGGAATGAGGAATGTGTCCTGTTTCAATTTGTGGAATTAAGCAGGGCTGTCTATTTGTGCTTGTTTTTCAGAGGAATTGTTCAAAGCTCGCCCACCTTGGATAAGTGGAACACGGCACTCAGGATTTCACCGATACAAATTTCAACCAAATTTGCCCCAGACTGTCCACGTCCAGGCTAGATGGCCAGCAACAACCTTACTAATAAAAGTATTGCTTTTTTTTTTTCCAAATTATGTTGTTGACATATAACTAGTTTGTATGATTGTAATGGACTAAAGATGAAATTGAGTCTAGTCTCTTTCTAAGGCAAGTATCCAGAGTGAATTTTCCACAAAGGTGTAAAAGAGAGAAAATAAATAATGAGATGACAGTGGGGATGGATGCCTAGGGTGGCTGAGAGAAGAGCAATGGAATGGGTGAATTGGGTATGTGAGAGAAAGGACAAGCAGAGAAGTGGTGGAGGAAAAGAGGGTACCCTGTACTTGCTGAAACTTGCAGCATAAATAAACTGGAGCAGAAAAGAACAGATCAAGTGCCATGTTGAACTGCAATACAGCTTGACTTCACGTGTTATGACAGGAGTTGTTGCAGATTTGTGATAATTTTTTCCAGGGAGTTTACTTTCAGTGTTACTAGGCTCTTACTCAGTGGCTCGGTGGGCTCTAATCCCTTTGAGAAAATTCAGCAATGTCATAGCCATTGTAACTCCTACTTCCTGTTCTTCTTCTTGCTTGCCCTCCTCTCCCAGATGCTGTGGGCAGCACAACCTTCATCTCCATATAAAATATAAAAAGATTATCATATAATAGACAAATTCAACAAGATGGGGAGCAAACAAAGTAAATCACAATAGAAAAAGAGAAGAAACATCAGGAGGTGGCTGGAGAGAAGGCCTGCTGAAACATCCACATTTTAAATTGATTTTTAAAGACACCCAGCAAGGGGGCCGTGCGAATCTCCAGAGGCAGATTGTTCCAGAGGCAAGGAGCCACCGCCGAGAAGGCCCGGTGTCTTGTTTTTTCCTTCCGGGCCTCCCTCGGCGTCAGGCTCCCAGCCTCACCTCCTGACTCGCACTAGTGACACGGGTAGAACATGGTGAGAGTAGGCATTCCACCAAGTATCGAGGCCCTAAACCGTTTAGGGCTTTGTACATAAGCATCAAAACTTTGAAGTCAGTGTGGAACCGAATGGGCAGCCAATGCAACACGGCCATAATAGGAGAAATATGGTGGAATTTTCTCGCTCCACTAAGGAGTCTGGCCGCCACATTCTGCAGCACTTGGAGCTTCCACATCAACCTCAAAAGTAGCCCCACGTAGAGCGCATTACAGTGGTCTAATCTGGAGATTACGAGCACATGGACCAAGGTAGTGAGCGCCCCCGTATTGAGATAGGGTCACAGCCGGGCTATCTGCCAAAGATGGAAAAAGGCAGAACGGACCACCGACGCCACCTGAGTTTCCATGGTGAGCGCCGGGTCCAGATGGATCCCCAGGCTGCGGACCCCACTCTTTGTAGCAAGGGTAACCCCCCCAAATGAGAGAGAGTCACCCAAGCCACCGATAGTGGGGGCACCCACCCTCAGAACCTCCGTCTTGTCCGGGTTCAGCCTCAGCCATTTTCCTGCATCCATTTCAGTACAGCCTCCAGGCAACGCTGAATGGATAGGACGGCATCTCCTGCAGTAGGTGGAAAGGGGATGTAGAGCTGGGTGTCATCAGCGTACTGATGACACAATGCCCCACACCCCCTGATGACCCCACCCAGCGGCCTCATATAGATATTAAACAGCATTGGGGAGATAACTGACCCCTGTGGAACCCCACAGTTGAGACTCCACGGGGCTGAGACACTCTCCCCAAGCTGAACTCTCTGGGGACGGTCCCCCAAGAAGGAACGGAGCCAGGCAAGCACGAGGCCACCAATTCCCAACTCTGAGAGCCTCCCCAGGAGGATACCGTGGTTGATGGTATCGAAGGTTGCCGAGATGTCGAGGAGGACCAACAGAGATATTTTACCCCTGTCAGCCTCCCTCAGCAGGTCATCATGCAGGGTGCCGTTTCTGTACCATGGCGCGGCCTGAAGCCTGACTGAAACGGATCCAGGGCATCTGTTTTATCCAAAAGAGCCTGAAGCTGGTCATCCACCACCCTCTCCACCACTCTGACAATGGCATTGCCTTCACTGCTGTTCCTGTCTTCCTAGCCACAAGCTCAATGCTTCCTATAGGCCTCCTACTCTTGACACATTTTTTGGAGAAGTACAATACACCCAACACACCTTTCTTGGGTCTCAGACAACTCACTCAATATATTGTGTCTCAATATTTCAGAACAGAAGTCCTTCCCAAAAAGATACACCTTCAAAATATTTTTCTGAAGAAGTTAAATTTGAACCAAAAGCAAAGGTCCCTGTGGAGGCTGAGAAACAGGTCATGTTGTCTTCTTTCAAATATTTACCCAAAAGGTAAGCCGGACACTTGGTTTACAGGCCCTAATGGAATGAACTGCCACATTGTAACTAGAATCTCCTTTCCACATGCCCACATGTATGCATGTAGTAGGTGAAGTATTTAATAGGAGAGGGGAAGTATGCAGGATTGGTGAAGATCTTTACTGTTTTACACTGCCACTCCCACAAATACCATGAGCAGATTTCTCCAGGATGCCAAAGTTGATAAGATCTGAAGTTCCCACTGCAGATTACACAAGACTAGCAGACTATTGCTCAATTGGTTTGTGCAACCTGTTTGGGACTTTTCTATTCCTTACCATATGATGTTGCTGAATTTAGACTTCTGTCTGAATCAAACCTCTCTTTCAGCTTAGGTAATTGGGTTTTCCACAGTTAACCAGAAGAGTCTTGTGGTGCAGTGGTTAAGCTGCTGTACTGCAGCCAAAACTGTGTTTATAACCCGGGTTTCAGTCCCAGGTACCCAGCAAAAGGTTGACTCAGCCTTCTGTCCTTCCGAGGTTGGTAACATGAGTACCCAGTTTGTTGGGGGGGGGGGAATGTGTAGCCCACACAATTAACTTGTAAACTGCCCAGAGTGCTATAAGTGCTACTGGATGGCATATAAGCACCATGCTTTGCTTTGCTAAGCATCAATTCCAATCTCATTTTCAGGCATGCACAGAAACAACTTGTGTCCAGTACAAAATATGTTGCTAAATAGGGTGACCGCTGACACATCACCAAAAAGAACATGTCTCACTGAATAGAAGGGCAAAAGCAAATACCATATTTTCTGTTGCAACTGCACAGCCAGCTGCAAAAATTCCTCAACCAGTCTGGGACTGGGGAGGGGGGGGGTCCTAGGAATTGCCCCCAAACATACAGTAATTTTTTCAATACTATTTCTTATTTTAATGTAATGTAATTTAAATTAAATTAAATTTAAATGTAATTTAATGCAAGACAGGAAGGTTTTGAATGTGGAGTGCCTTGTCCTTTATGCTTTCCTTTTTGAATTATAACGAAAGTGCTGAGGTCATCTGGTAAGTGTCCGGCTTCCTTTCTGAGTATTTTGAACTGAAAATTATAGCTCTATGTGTCACTTTTGTTATGAGAATTTGGTAATTCCCTTTTTAAAAAATTAATTGGAGTATCTGATAAAAACAATGCAATAGCAGCAGAAAAAAAAGTGCAAGAGAAAGAGAAGTAGCTTAACTTCTCAGCATCCACCCCTTCATAGTAACTAGCACTTTACTGTATATAATAAAAACCACCATAAAAACATCCTAAGTAGAAAAAAGTATATTTATTTATAGCTGCAATCTTCAATTACAGTCAGAAGTATAAAAGAGAGGGGAAAAAAGAAGAAATTGCAGTCTCAATCATGTGGGAGACGGGGTTCACCATGCACCTGTATGGTCGGAGGTCAGGAGCAGAAAATAACGTGTCTGCTTTGGTCAGAGGTCATAGAAGAAGAAGAGAAGGCAAACAAATAGCAGAAGTGAAGCAAACAGTAGCAAAAAGAGGAGAGACAAGACAGAGGTGGGAAAAATAACTTTGCTAATTGGTTAGTGGCAAAAACAGTCACCTTAGCTTGTGAAAGTTCCCTCTTCCCACTTAAACCCAGTGTTTAGTTGCATGGATGATTATTTTCTCTCTAGCAACTTTAACCCTAAATTTGCACTTTTACTCTTTCCTCACAGAAGTTGTCAAAATATTTCCCAAACTTGCCTGAATGGGGTGCCTTCTCTCCAGCCACACCTGATTTTGATATCATCCCATGTTCCTGCTTATGAGGTACAGCTGGTTTCATGATAGCTTAATAGCCTCCTTCCTTCATGTAATTTGATGTTGTCTGCCTTTTGTGTTCACAAAGTACTGGAATACAGTGGGGTTCAAAGGATTAACTAGCGAGGAATTGGGTTTATTCCTTCTAGTTAGCAGAGTATGAGGTAGAAAAACAACAACAGGGGAAGAGATGAGCTGGGTCTCATCAGGCTCCCCTCCTTGATTTCTTTTATACACAAACTAGCACTATGTATGATAATATCATTCTAGAAGCATTTACAACAGAAAGAAAGTATATTTACTTACAGTTAACATCTGTAGTTACAGTCAAAATAAAAGAAAAAGAAAAATGGAGTTTCCAGAGATGGAAGACCCTCCATGATTGTTGTTTGGAGAAATTTCAGAAATGGAAGAAGGACATCAACAAAAAAACAAATGGAAGCTAGCAAGACAAAACAGGAAGAAGGGCAGAGGCTTGCCTCAAGTGCCAGAGATGAGAAAAGAACTTTAGTAATCAAGTTAGTGGTAAAGGATAATCATATTAGGTTGTAAAACCTCCTCCCACCAATACCCAGATTAATGCATGCAAGATTGCTATTAGCCCAGCATTAACAAGCTGGATAATGAGGTAGTAGAAAAGCATAACCAGACCAAGAATAAATACAATAACATGAGAATATTGCAGCAATTTTTAAATCACTGCTTGTGTAATTATTTTACACATACAGTATGAGTACAATAAATCAAGATTGAGGAAATAATTAAAAAATGAGAGAAAGAATTGGTTAGTTCTGCAGACCTTCTCCTGGTCCTTATTTTGCTGATTCTCCAGGCCATCATCCTATGTTTTCACACTTTGGAAGCCTAGTTCCCATGTCTGGTTATGGAATGGTATGTATTTGTGTATGTACGGAAGTCCCTGCTCGTTGACATTCAGACTGTCCCACACTCATTTGCCTTAATTCTGGATGTTTTGCTAATGCTTGTATTGTATTATATTGCATTCTATTTGAATAATAACCCACCTTTCTCCCACAAATGGGACTCAGTAGATAAAAATAGAAACAGATATAGGTAGGAAAAAATGTAATGCTAAACCATTAGTTATTAATAAAATTGCAATATTAAAGCACTATTGGATTAGATGCTATTTCAGAACACACCAAGTCAAAGTGTGGGTCAGTCTGTTTTTCAAAAGCTGGTTCATTCAGAAGCTAGTCAGTTGACCAAAGCCTGAATAAAAAAGTAGAGATGGGATTTTCATTTGAAAATATAAGGAAAACACATAGGAGAAAACACATAATGGTGTATTATTATTTTTTTTGCCGGAGGTGGGCCTCTTTCATCACTCTCCAGAAAAAAAACTCTGTTAAAATCAAATTATTTAGTTCAACGAAGGACGAGTACATGAAGATTTTATTTTTTTACATTTGCCCTCTTTCATTTGAGCTTTCACCTGGTGTCTATCAAATTGCTGAGAAAGTTTCCCATCAAATAGCATCATAAGTGCTGCTGTCAGGAGCCAATCAAAAAGTCTATTTGTGGGAGTGGGGATTTTGAAGCTATAAAAAAAGGTCTGGATTGGTTGGAGCCCCTGGTTTCACTCCAGCTGTTCCTTCTGGTGGGCAAACTCCTTCCGAGCACCCTGTACAGAGAACTGCCTTTCTGCCTGCCTGCCTGCCTGCCTGTGCCTCTGGATCCTCTCCCTTTTCCCTTGATTTTGGGGGAAAATTTTACCCAATTCATTGGGAATTATTTTTGCTGCCTTTGTGCTGCTCTGCTGGAAGACTTCAAGTGATGGAGAAAGAGAAATCTCCTGTTCTAGTCATTTTGGTTGGGTATGGGGGAAAGCTTTGTGTATTTTTGCCTTTATTCGCTTGATGGCTTTTGTTCTTTTTTTGAGAAAGGGAGCTCTCTCTGTGTGTTTTATTTTGATTTTTTTCTCTATGTGTGTGTGATCCTTTTCCTGTTTAATTGATTTTTTAAAATTGTTAATTATGTGGTTATTTTACTGTGTATTTATTCTGTTAAAGATGTATATTTTGGTGGGGAGTTTTTGGGGACTGTTACTTAGTACTTGTTGTTGGTTGTACTATTGCTTGCTTTTGAAGTAGATTGATTCTCTGCCGCCTTGTGTCTTCTTTTGGGGGACAGTTTTTATGGATTTGGGGACTGTTTTTACTACTAGCATCAGAAAAACAAATAGGGAAAAATTAAATGAAATGAATAAAAAGAGGTAGTCTCTTTCAAGGCAAATGAACAGATCAGTGCACAAAAGCAAGAAAAATGATAGAGGCTCTTCCTTAAAAAACTGAAAATGAAACAAGACAAAAGTTCTCACCATGCACATTTCTAGTAAAAAAATCTTTTTGCTTGCTGGAAAAAGGTCAACAGGGAGGAGATAATGGCCATCCTTCTGGGGTGGGGGGAGTTCTGGAACCTACAAACAGTCATAGAGGAAGGCTTCTCTTGTATCCCTATCAAACACGCCTGAGAGGATGGTAGAATTGAGAGGAGATCCCGCCCCTGTGAAGATCTCATAACCTGTCCTTCAGACGAAGATCTGATGTTTAACCAATAATCTGGCATTGCTAGGAAGTGAAATGTTTATTTTTGAGTGGTTTGTGAAATATGGATATGCAACAGAGCTAAAATCAGTGGCCACAAAAGCCCACCAATCACTTAATGGAGCACTGTGCATGCAAAGGAGAAACTGACCCAACTTCAGGCCCATTTTGGCCTTTCACTGTACAAATGATATGGTTCCTTCTATAGTCATGTTCTTTTGCTTTTTTTCTTCCAGATGATTTTGGACAGTGTTAAGCCTGAAGCAATCTCTGTAGTGTATGAACCTAGCGGTGCCACACTGGAAAGTCTTCTTTATTATGTGCAAAAGGCTTTGGATGGCCAAACAGCAAAAAGCATTGGGATTCTTAGTGATGGAGATTCCAGAGGCCTTACCCTGATTCAAGGTGGAACCCCTGTCAACCAGCAAAATGCTTCAACAGATAGCAGATTATTTTATGCTTCATGGAGCTCAATGGATTTGCCAACATTGTTTTTTCCAAGTGTTTGTCAATAGTCTGATGGCCTTGTTACAGATAAGTTGCAATCAGTGGCACAAAGAGGGCCCATGGTCTAATTCAACTCCTCTCCAGAAAAATGTGTGCAAAAAATTGTTGTTGCTTAGTCGTTAAGTCGTGCCCGACTCTTCGTGACCCAATGGACCAGAGCATGCCAAGCACTCCTGTCTTCCACTGCCTCCTGGAGTTTGGTCACATTCATGTTGTTACCTTTGATGACAGGTTCCAACCATCTCATTCCCTGTTGTCCCCTTTTCCTCTGATGTTGGTATTGCCCATCTGGTGATGTCCATGTGCAGAGTCGCCTCTTGTGTTGTTGGAAAACAGAATTTGTGATGACCAGCTTGTTCTCTTGACAAAACTCTATTAGCCTTTGCCCTGCTTTGTTTTGAACTCCAAGGCCAAACTTACCTGTTGTTCCTTTTATCTCTTGGCTCCCTACTTTAGAATTCCAATCCTCTATAATGAGAAGAACACCTTTATTTGGTGTCAGTTCTACAAGGTGTTGTAAGTCTTCATAGAATTGGTCAACTTCAGCCTCTTCAGCATCAGTGGTTGGTGCATAAACTTGGATTACTGTGATGTTGGAAGGTCTGCCTTGGATTCTTATTGAAATCATTCTATCATTTTTGAGATTATATCTCACTACAGCTCTTCCTACTCTTTTGTTGACTATGAGGGCTACTCCATTTCTTCTACAGGATTCTTGCCCGCAGTAGTATATTTGATAATTGTCTGAATTGAATTTGCCCACTTCCGTCCATTTTAGTTCACTGGCGCCCAATGAACTATGTTTATTCTCGCCATCTCCTGTTTGACCACATCCAGTTTATGAAGGTTCATAGATCTTACATTCCAGGTTCCTATGCAGTATTTTTCTTTGCAGCATCAGACTTTCCTTTCACTTCCAGGTGCATCCACAGCTGAGTGTCCTTTCGGCTTTTGCCCAGCCACTTCATTAGCTCTGGAGCTGCTAATATTTGTCCTCCGTTTTTCCTCAGTAGCATGTTGGACACCTTCCAACCTGAGTGGCTCATCTTCCAGCGTCATATCTTTTAGCCTTTTGTTTCTGTCCATGGAAGTTTTTTTTTGGCAAAGATACTGGAGTGGCTTACCAGTTCCTGCTGCAGATGGATCGCGTTTAGTCAGAATTCTCCACTATGACCTGTCCATCTTGAGTGTCCCTGCATGGCATAGCCCATAGCTTCTCTGAATTACTCAAGCCCGTTCACCACAACAAGGCAGCAATCCATGAAGGGGGTGCAAAAAATTACATTTTAAGAAATAGAAAAAAAGAGGGGAATTATATGAAGTATAACTGTGAAAACAGAACAAAACAGTTATATTATCTTTATTGACAAAAAGTTTGCTTCTCTCACACACATAGAAAACCATGTGGGTGAGAGGGGTATTTTTGCAGTAAAACAGTGAGATGGGCAGGTTAAACCCCAAGCTTGGTTGATTGCAGTCCATCACTACGAAACCCTTAAAAACAAACAAACAACACCAGGCAACATAATTACCTTCTGTGAAACACCTAATTGGTCCTAAGATTCTTAAGAAAGACTGCATACTTTGACCCCGCTTAAGAATGGACAGAGATAGATTGCTTCCAGTTCTAGGTGGATGAATTCAATCATAAGAACAGCGAAAACAATAATTGAATGTTATCATTTATTATTTACATTTTGACTGATACAATTTCTTTCAGGTTACAGAATAAGTAGCAAGAACTTGCTTAAGCCTGAAGTGAAAGGATTTTGGGAGAAATTAAGATGTTGTGTAGAAGAAGGTGGCCATATAGACATCTTTGTTTCTCTGGCAGCATCAGGTCAGTTCTATTTTCTAGAGTCCAGACATATTTTGTTTGTTTACAAGAGGCTTAATCTAACAGAGTTGTTGATACCATGGGCTGCCAAAACCAGAAAGAAGTGGGTGCTGGATCAAATCAACCCTAGACTCCTTCTAAAGATCAGCCTATTGAGATCAAAGATCAAAGGCTATTGCACTTTGGGCAAGTACGGCTGACTGGAAAAGAGAAGAATGCTCGCAAAATGAAAGGCAGCATTAAAAGAGGAACATGTGATGGATTGATTTGAAAGAGGGAACCATGGCCTTGAGGTTGCATGACCTGAGCAGGGCTGTTAAATACAGGACCTTTTGGAAATTGTTAATTAATTAGGGCTATCATAGGTCAGAAGCAACATGATGGCACACAATAATGTATCTTAACATTGGAACCCACCTAACTTTATTTGGCTTAAAACATCAAAGCTAGATGCATAACCAATAGATGGTTTTAAATTGAAGTAGCTATCACACAATAAGGAAATACACTTCCCTTTCTAGTTCTCGATATATTTCTGAAGCCAGAAACTGGAATTCAGAGCAATCAGGTGACGATTTCGCTACGTGCCCAGCACCTTCTGAGATGAGATTGTTGATCACAGGGAAATTTGCAGCCTTTTGGTTTCGAGAGCCAGGGTGTAAAAATTCCAAACATTGCTGCAGAGACTATAAGGGGCCCAACTGATTATCTCTACCAGATATGTAACATCAATTTATGTCCTTTTTTTTTTGCACCATCCCTGAAGGGTGTGCGTGCTTAGAGCCTGAGGAAGTGAATTTAACCCACCAAAGCTTGCCCAATAAAAAAAATCACCTACTCTTGCATTTGTGCCCCCTTAGAAGTTAGTTTTTTCCTTGACACAGTCGAATATACTAATGACATTTGAAATGGAAGGTCAAATACGCTGCTGTTGTTTACAAAAACATAACTCATACTGTCAAGGCATTCTCAGAACATCAAAGGGCAGCCCGCCCTTCAGACTCCTGTCACCTGTAGCCAGTGCAGCCAATGGTTAGGAATGCTGGGATTTGAAGTCCAACAAAAGGGCTGCATTTAACCATATTTTCTATAACATATCCTTGAAACTGAACTGTAATAACCAGTCATTCTTTCCTCAGTATTTATGCACCACCAGAGATGTGTTATGTGCAGTATATTTTAAGTATTGTTTGTATATCATTTTTTTTCTTCTTGGAATTTTGAAATACAGTAATCTATCTTCCCTAACAGCGGAAATTCCTGTGTATTGGATTTCCTCACCCACCTTCTCTGACCCTACAAAGACAGGAATTCATTCTCTAGCATTAGTTTCAATTTATATTGGTGCCCCGCATAGCGAGGTTAATCTGTTCTGGATTAATCATCGCTATGGGGAAACATTGCTATACGGAATTGAAAACGCCATAGAAATGCATTAAACTTAGTTTAATGCGTGACTATGGCTCCTAAACTCACAGTTGTGCGAAGTTTCCCCATAACGCTGCCATTTTCGCGCCCTCGGTAAGCGAGGGCAGGGTGCGAAAACGCTGCGCACGGCCATTTTGGGCATCCAGTGGCCATTTTGGAACTGCCAATCAGCTGTTTTTTAAATATCGCTATGCGAAAATCGGTAAGCGAAATGCTTACCGATCGTCGCAAAGCGATTTTTTCCCTATCTAAACATCGCAATGCGATCGCTTTTGCGGTCACAATTGCGACGTCGCTATGCGGATTCGTCGTTAAATGGTGCGCTCGTTAAGCGAGGCACCACTGTATTTATTCATTCATTCCCTGGAAGGGCTCCTGAAATGCCTTATATAAGATCCATTAACACAAGGCAATACCCGAATGGTGTTTGAATTTACTAATGGTACGATATTAACATAACCCTGGATCCTAAGCTAATTTTGTTGGGTTCTATCAAAAGACTTGTTAAGAAATCAGATACGAAACTGGTTCCAAGTCTACTTGTTGTTGCCAAGAAGATGCTATAGCAATGCACTTGGGAAAAACAGAGCCGCCTTCTGTAAATGGCTGGTTTCACCATATCTGGAGCACTGCCTGATTAGTTAAATTAATGTATTATCAGAGGATGCAAGGAATTATTTGTAAGGTGCAGATTAATTTTATGGGTGATGAGCAATATTTGTTATATATTAGATTGAGAAATAGAACATACCCTTTTGTTTGTAATGAACCATTATCAAAATTACTGTTAATTTCCTTGATGCGCAGCTTTGAAGAAGATGATTTGTCATCAAAAGCTCATTATTTGTTGTTGGTTTTTTTGTTTTATATACTTAATGGTTGATTAAAGGTACAGCCCTTTCCCTCTTCCTTTTTGCCTTTTGAAATGCTGGAACGGATTAATTCCATTCCCATGCATTTCAATGGGAAATGGTACTTCGACTTACGAACTTTTCGACGTACGAACGTCGTTCCAAAACAGATTAAGTTTGTAAGTCGAGATACCACTGTATCACCTACTTCTGCATTTGTGTTAATTTTAGGAATACAATTATATATGCATAGATTAAAAGAAATCCCTGCACTGCAGACTAAAATTTTTTATAAAGCATGACAGAAAGGGAAAAAAGGATGAGAAAGAAAGAAGAAAACAGAAATCCTGTTGTAGTCACAGTGTTCTTTCCCTAAGTGTGACTTCTCAGGTGAACCTGGGGAAGATCATATCCCAACCACAACATGGAGATAGTCACATAGATAGAGTTAGGTGGGATTATAATGATCAGCTGATAGTCTCCATTGACTTCGTTTTTAAACATATATAATTACATGTAACAAAATATTATTCTGGACTTTAAAAATATACATATAGTGCCTTCTCCAAAATTTAGCAAAGATTAGGTTGACATGATATTTGGGCCAAGTAAATTATAAGATAAAATTCCAAACGTGTGATGTTTTATATTTTAGAAATATGCAATTATTACATTGTGTATAAAAGACTATAATTTTCCAGAAGCAGGCATGGAAGTTCTTTCGCAGCTGTCTCATCTGACTGGGGTATTATTTAGGACTCCCACAGGAATAGCAACTGGATCATACCACCACCGTAAGTGTAAAATACTGTACCTGTTCAGATTGTGTTGTATGAAACGTCTGGTTTCAGATGATACTGTGAACCTGCTACAGCCAGTCTTATTCATCATTGGAGCTCCATTTTAGTAGAAACACCGGCATCGTTGTCTCAGCAACAGAACCTCTAAAATATAATCTCCTTTGCTACTGTTTCTTAGAAGAGTAATGTTACTTATTTTGGGGAAGGTGGAGGCCTTCATACTTAGCAACACCAGGAAAGAGTGGTCTTAACTGACTAGATAGGCGGGATATAAATCGAATAAATAAATAAAATAAATAAATAAATAAAGACCTGTCAGCTGTTGCCAGTCAGAATCATCCATTTGGTACAAAACAGAGCCACTCAAGTATTAATAGCTGCTAGGCTACTGGATAATATGCTACTTACACTGTACCCGTTGTGCCAATTGCCAGGGCGATCCCAGCCTCAGAATAGTGCCCTTTGATATGATTTTAAGGAATGAAACAGAGTTTAGGTTACTTGAAGGAACACTGTAAACCATGTCAACCTGCTTGCATTCTAAAATGGGCATTGCTGGTCCTACTTATGTGCCAGCCTGTGTAAAAACAGTGAGGCTGGCAGTCACAGGCATAGTGCCTAGTACCACTTGTGGGGTCCCTTTTCCAATTGATGCCTACTAGGTGCCACCATTATAGACACTCAAAGAGGTTCTATTGATTTACCTGCCTGCCTTAACCTGTAGTTTCAATAAATAATTTCATTAAGTACCAACTGGTCACTAATTTCTCACCTTGCCAAAGACACAGGTTATCAGAGATCGCTGTAGGCTCTTTAACTTATTACTCCTGAAGAAGACCCCAGAGTAATTAATTGACTGAAAAACAATAGACTTCGAACAAAACCTACTTTTCTGCCTCTCGGGACTTTGTCTTTCCTTTATGTTGGGTTTCACTGGATATTTCCAGTTTCTTTTGCACTTGTGGTTATATGGTACTATCTTATTTTAACTATTAATTTCCATTTTACAGTTATTCTTATTGTTCTTTTTTTAAAAAACAATTTTTTTTTGTTTTCATTTTGATTGTATGCTGCCTCAAATGGTTTCTCCTAAAAGGTGGCATGTAATTTAAATATAATTAATTAAATGAAACCATGCAATAGGAAACTGAAGGAGGTCACAGTCTGGCTTGGTATGCACATTTCTATATAAATAGACAAACAGTTAAGAGCATAGGCCCATTTTCTAATGGTCTGACAACAGGAATCCCACCATTCAAGAAGAGGAAAAGCAAGAGCTCGTTCCCAATGAATGCCTTTTCTCTGGCAAGGGGAGAAAGACCATTATAATCGATGGACAAATATCAGTCCAATTTGGAGGAATCTTTACCCTCCTATGCGTAATTAAAGGATGTATATTTAACAATTTGGGAAGGAGACAGGGGTGTGTGTGTCAGCTATTCCAGAACAAGGCTCTTATAAGTATTGTTGCTTTGGTTCACAAGCACTACTGTATAAACAATTAAAACACAGGCAAAAATCCAAAGAAACGAAACAAAACACAAAAATATTTGGCACCTTAAAGACTATTATATTATTAATGTGAGCTTTCATGGACATATCCACTTCATCAGATATAAAGAAACAAAATGAAATGGAATGAAATGCAGATGAAAATATCAGTTTCACATTGTAAATGTTCATTGGTTACATGCAGTAATTAGGCCTACATTTGTGCATAAGTTTTATTTCAGCTATTATAAGTGATTTCCCGTCGCTTGTCCCAGCTCCTGCCAACCTAGCAGTTTGAAAGCATGCAAATGCAAGTAGAAAAGTAGGTACCACCACGGTGGGAAAGTAACGACATTCCATGTCTAGTCACACTGGCCACATGACCATGGAAACTGTCTTCAGACAAACGCTGGCTCTATGGCTTGGAGATGCTGATGAGCACCGCCCCCTAGAGTCAGACACAACTGGACTAAATGTCAAGGGGAAACTTTACTTTTACCTTTACCTTGAGCATAAGTTGTACTTCAGCTATTTCCCTCTGTGTTCTCAATTTGTAATGATTCTGTTCTGAAATTGTGACTTTCAAATCTTTCACAGAGTTTCTGTACATTGTGGCTTTGGATGTCAGATTTGTGGCTGCTGATCTGTTTCTGTAGAGATTGTCCTGTTTGTCCTATGTAGAGTACAAAGGGGCATTGTTGGCAAAAGATGGCATAGATCACATTAGCTGAAGAACAAGTGAAGATGCCTTTGATATTGTGTATGGCATTGTTAGTTCTTTTGATTGTGTTGCCAGAATAGATATGTGGGCAGAGTGGCATCTGTGTCTGTGGCAGGCTTCAGTCTCCCTCTCTGTGTAGCTGTCCTGTGGTCCATTTGCGTGTTCCTATTTGTTTGTTTGCTGTTTTGTGTGTGTTAATATTTGTTGTGTTTCTTTGGATTTTGCCTGATATGCTTGCACAGACTAACATGGTTACGTCTTCTAAAACTACAATTAAACATTTACATTTCAGTATTTAATAACAGCTTGATAGATACATCACACTGGCCTAAAACATTGCCCTCCCATAATTCCTTACACTCACTTCAACTGTATTAGGTGTAGGCAGGAAGATCATAGACTCAAAGAATAGTGGAGTTGGAAGGGGCCTATAAGGCCATCAAGTCCAACCCCCTGCTCAGCGCAGGAATACAAATCAAAGGATATCTGGCAGGTGGTTGTTTAAATTTCTATTGAATGCCTCCAGTGTTGGAGCAGTCACCACCTCTCAAGATAATTGGTTCTACTGCCATACTGCTCTAACAGTTAAGATGTTTTTCTAATATTCAGCTGAAATCTTGCTTCCTGTAATTTGAGCCTATTGTTGCGTCTCATGCAGTCATGGATGACTGAGAACAGATCCTGCCCCTCCTCTATATGACAACCTTTCAAGTATCTTTCAGTCTTTCTTCATATTTGGTTTCCAGCCCCTTGATCATCCTTGTTCCCTCCTCTGAACTTGTTCCAATTTGCTGGCATCCTTTTTGAAGATGAGGTCTAGCTGGTGCTGAATAGAGCAGAATTAGTACTTCACAGGGTTTGGATACTATAATTCTGATTTTGAATTTTGTTTCTGTCTTCCAGAGTGTTAGCTATTTCACCCAATTTTGTGTCATCCACAAATTTTATTAGAATTCCCTATGTCCCTTGATCCAGGTCATTAATAAAAATGTTGAAGAGTACTTGATCCAGGATTGAGCCCCGGGGTACCCTACTTGTTACCCCCTCCCAGTTTGAAAAGGCTGAATTATGCTCATAAAAATATATTGGTTACTCTGTTCTTTAGCTAATGCAAAACTATTCTTGACAGTAAAGTCTGATACAGTGCCCATAAACATACTTGATCACCTTTTGCAACTATACTTACTAAGTGAAAAAAAGAGAAAAATTATATTTTGTATCATTATAGTTCTCAGTGAATGGCTGGGAAATCAGAAAGACAACTATCCTCCATTCCTCTACTTCACTGAAGCAAAACTGCTGGTGTGGCTTAGATTCACAGAACTGTTGGAAGATGCACTGAAAGCTGCCAGGAGAAATCTGAGACCATATTTTTGTGATTTGCAGAAACATGTGGCCGGCAGGATTATTGGTAAATACTTTTAATTGTTGCTTTCAAAATATAGCTGAGGTTAAAACTCTGTTGTAACGGGTTATACGTTTCAAAAATGTAACATGTTTGTACAGTTATTATTCCACCATGTATGGAAGGAATGGCTATTATTTAATGGCTAAAATCCCCTCGCACAAGTAATGCCATGCAATACTGATGACGTGATCAGCCACAGCAATTTTTTGGTAATAAAATGTTTCTAGTTTCTCTCCTGAAGGTCCCAATGACCTTACCATGGGAATCATGGTAAGGTCATTCTAGTGATGATGATGTTTTATAGTTAAATGCTTCCATCCCTGTGCTGCAGCCCGAAGCGGATTACAAATGAAAGGGATTCTGCTGGAGACTTCGGATCTCTCTCTCTCTCTCTGTGAAATCAGAATGTTTTAATTTTAATCTTAATTTTTTATTTCTGAAAAATCACCACAGCTGATGATATCATCAGCCTTATACTGTGTAACTTGCAGCAACAGAATTTCAGCCAATGTTCTATTCTTATATAGACATACTGAAATGCAGTACTCATGCATGCATTGTCTCTAGGCAAACAATTTTTCCCTTACTCCTTTGTGCTTACTCCACTGTACCAAACAGTGTGGATTTTGTTAAAGTTCTGTCTACATTATTATATTTTAAAGTCAACTTCTCTTGTCTTCAAGAAATTAGATCTCTACAATAATTTTTTTCTAAAATATTTCAAAAATCGTGAATAAACTCTTTAAAGATTATCCCCTCTGCTCAATTATGTCTTTGTTTATTTAGGAAATGGACCTCCTCCTTCCTCTTACTCCACTTTTCTTCTTTCCTTTTCCTCCCCACTGGAACTGCCGTCTTTTGTGGAACAGATGTTAGAAACAGGAATGGAAAATGTGGGAAAAACTATAAAGCTTCTTGGGAAGTTGGGCAACTTATAATAACCCATAAATGTCAAATAGAAGTTAAACTACTCCCAACAGTACCCCGGCCTCTCTATGGCTTCCAGGCAAGCAGGAGATACAAAGACGTCCACCAGTTCTGCTACCCCCTGCTCCATAGCACAGTTGGGTAACTGCTAAAATTGGAAAGTTCTGAGATAACAGCAGACACCCACTGCTAATTCATTTTAGAAATTGGCTCCATTGAAAATAGTCTTTGTAAAAAATTGTAAGGAACCCCTTTCAAAATGATCTGTGTTGTATATTTTTGCCTGCTTGCTTCTGTTTACTGAAAACCTCTGACTGTTTTTACCTTCTAACCTCTGCAGCAGGAACAGAACTCTTACAGGAGACAGTTTGAAAAACCACATAAAGCTAGGGTTTTTGTCATTCTTTCTCAGAGTTGTTCCTGATTTAAGCCTTGTGTTGTTTGGATGGTAAGAAAAACACCACGATCATCAATGTACAATCAGGTGCATATGGGAAACAAACACTCTGTATGAATGAGCCCTCTGACTAGGGTTTTTTTTTAACTTGATTCATTGGGGAAAACAAGGCAGGATTAATTCCTTGTGTATCAAGATCAATAGATATCTAATTTTGGATCATTTCTCATGGTGGGATCTACTAGCAATTATGTATTGTTGATAAACTGTATCACTGAGAAAAGCTTGAAGAAACTAAAATTGTCTTACAGTCTGACTCATCAGATGATTTAATTTATTATAGATTCCCTTTTGCTGTAATCCGATTACTCCATTCTTTGATGAGAAGCCTGTTCCATTTTCAAGTTTTTAACATTTCAGTAATTAATTGCTATATGCAGGTCAGATTATGTTTGACACTCTGAGCTGGTCTGAAGTTCAAAACCATCAAGGAATAGCCCAGGCTTTAGCTGATGGATTAACTGAACTTTCAAGAGGAAACCAGGTGAGTTAAGCTAATGGTTTTGATTGAATTATCTCAAAGTTTAACTGTTAGGTGTTGCTTAAATTGGTTCAAGGCCATTATCAGCTTAATGCACTCTAATGTTTGTCACGGAATTTGGCGACAGTAGAAATACGCAGAGTTACTGAAGACACAAGTTCTTCTTTTGTTGCAAGACGGTTGTATTTACAGTATTTACAGATATTTACAGGCAGGCATCTTAACAGCATGGCAGGAACTCTTTATACAATCTGACAGCATGCATGGCAGCAAGTGGTGGAAGAGGAAGAGAAAGACACAAAGACACAGTCCACTTATATACATGTACATGGCATATTTTGTCCTATCAGAAGACAGATGACGTCATCCTTTGCACCTGGTCTTCTTCTGGATTCAAGACATTGCATCATCTCCAGAGTGATTCAGCATTCTCACATTTGTGCACAATGGCAGCTCGTTAATGATACACTTATACATGTTCAGGCCTATAAAATTTCTATATTCTGACAATGTTGATGGGAAAGAATATTCTCACTGTACTGGTCCTAAGATGCCATCTACCAAATCCTTGTACTTCTTCACTAGCCACTACTGGCATTGCTGTGGCACTTCCATCCTTGTACCTCTAGTACCACAGATGTGCTACTAGGATAAATGCCATGTGAATTGGCTTAGGCCAAACATCACCAGCCCATCATTTCTCCTAAAGGGTTGGCTGAAGAGATTTTGTTGTTTGACACAAAGGCTATGATGATACTCCCTTCCCACTCCAAGTATGAAAGCTGACAAGACTAGACACTGAATCAACATTGCCCAGTGATAGCATCCTCCACCAAATCTTGAGGTTCTGTCCTCTAATAACTCTCAACTGCTCCTTGCCTTCCAGCATCCGAGGCAACTGCAACATTGTCACTACTAGGATGTCTGGCTTTGGTTGAGAGGGCAGTCAAACAACAAAGAGCCTTGTGGTCTGGGCCACAATAAACTGAGAGAGGAATAGAGCTTGGAAAGGTTACTTTCTTATACTGCAACTCTCAGAAATCTCCAGCTAGCATAGTTCAAAATATGAGTGATAGCAAGCATTAATGTTCTTTTTCCATCTTCTAAGGAGAACTGAACTGTTAGAAATAAATAGCTTGGCGATGAAATGTTTTTGTGCTAATATTTGCTGCTTAGGACTTGCAAGCATGCCATGTCTCAACCTTTATCGTACACTCTGCTACCCCACTTTCATGCTCTGAACATTCTTCCAGCAATGATTTTGTCCCGAGTATACAGGAAGCTTTGGTGAGGCTCATGGAGAAGTACACCCTTTTTTGTGGTACACAAACCAAAAACGTTTCATTCCATGCCCTTGTGGTGTAAAATAATGCCTGTTAGAATCAAAAGACTTTGGCAAACAGTTTCGCACGATAGCGGCATGATGGAATGCTGCTGTATGATGTTTGTTTAGAAGCTCCTCTCCCTCAGTCATGGATCCAGTTTGTTTCTAGCACCGACTGCCACTCTCATAGCATGTGAAGTGACTGTCCAAGTGATGAAGAGACTTCAGAATTCACGAAGCTCACAATTAAGTACTTCAAAGAAAAATTTCTGAAGGCATTGAAGTAATCCTAAAAGAGGCTATGGGTTCAATCCACTTCTTAATCCCTCATGAATGGATTATTGAATATTTACTGACCTAAGATGGACAGAACAACTCCCATTCATTAAGGTAAAGGTTCCCCTTGACATTTAGTCCAGTCATGTCCGACTCTAGGGCATGGTGCTCATCTCCATCTCCAAGCCGTAGAGACAGCGTTTGTCCGTAGACAGTTTCCATGGTCACGTGGCCAGCACAACTAGACACGGAACACTGTTACCTCCCACCATGGTGGTACCTATTTATCTACTCGTATTTACATGCTTTTGAACTGCTAGGCTGGCAGGAGCTGGGACAAGTGACGGGAGCTCACTCCGTCACATGGATTTGATCTTAGAACGGCTGGTCTTTTGACCTTGCAGCACAGAGGCTTCTGTGGGTTAACCCGCAAAGCCACCATGTCCCTGCTATCTATTCATTCATGTAGTTTACTCTAATTGGGACTAACATTTTGATTTAGTCTTATAGGATCATGTCATTCAACCCTATTATGCATATTCCATTTGTTATCATGATGCTGGACCTGTGGAAACCTAACTGAATTTATCGATTAATAGAATTGTAGAACTGAAAGGAATTCCAACAGTCATCAAGCCAAAAACGGAAATCACATTAAAGGAATTTGACTGATATACAGCTTACTCTGTCCCTCCTTTTGACTCGCGTAGCAAATAGTTGTCTTTGCTTAGAAAAGGGACAATAAACATACTATACTACTTCCTTTTGTGGTTTAATAGGAAAACCCACTTGAATTTCTGTCACACTTTCTGATGAAGAAAAGTATCAAAAAAGAAGAGTTCAGAAACCAGGTTGTCTCGACTGCCAGCACAAGAGAAGCATGTGTTGGTGTGTCAGTTCAGGTAAAAAGGAACCATGCTTGTCTTGGGCATGCGCTGTAGCTTTCTAGTATTTCCATTCAACCCTATTATTTTGCAGCCTGATTAAAGAATAGAGAAACTGTGGCTGAAATCCTAGTGTGCTTAGTATATTGTAAAGTTATGCCTGAAGAAGTTCATGGGGGATTATGCCCAAGCAGTCCACATATCTCATTGTGCAAAGAAACACACAATGAACTACATAATAAACAGTGCAGTGGACCATGCAGTGGGCCACACAACTGACCACACAGTTGGCAACACAATCAGCAGCTGTAGAGCTGCTTCTCAGATAAGATCTCCACCTTGGTGCATATTTTGTAATAGATTGTGCAACTTAAGTTACACAGTCATAGGCACAGAACAGGATTTCAGCCAATTGGTGTTAAAATAGTTTAAATCCAAGTATCTAAATAGTGTAATAGCTTTTAAATGTTTTTATTGACATGCTCTTCAGCACCTCATATCCCACAAGATATTTCATGTCCAACTTTCTACTCTGTAATCTCCAGCATTTTGAGCCAAGATGGCCATTACTTAGGGAGTACAAGACAAATTAAGCCCATTTCAAGATCTAATGCAAGCAGCCTTCCAGATCTCTGTCACAACATAGTGTTTTAGAACAGTGATTCCCAACCATGGTTCCCCAGATGTTCTTAGACTGTGACTTCCAAAAGTTCTTGTCAGCCCATCTAGTGGTGAAGGCTTCTTGGAGTTGCAGTCCAAGAACATTTGGGGAACCAAGGTTGGGGACCACTTTTTTAAAGAAGATTTATAGATCTGATACACTCTCTATGTACTCTGTGTCCCAAAGTGAGAGAAGTGAATGATACTATGTATGAAATCCAAAGTACAATAACTGGCAATATTATCTCTTCAGAAAATCCATACTCCCAAGTGAGTGCATATTGGAATGTATCCAAAGACGTTTCTATCATAACATAAATATCCTGATCTGTTTTTTGTATTTTCTTGGTTAAATGCGCAGCCTGCCCTAAATGTGAGTGTGAAGCTCTTAGAAATGCACTTTTGATTATAAATATCCCAGGCTGAATCTCAGATGCTGAAATATGTAAGGTAACTTGTATTTCTGTATTAACTTTCAGAGTGGTAAACGATATGAAGACACCTCAGACAAGCGCAAAAGCCTTGCCAGAGAACTCCTGTTAAGTGAAGGAAACTATGTGCACACTCTGGAGATTGTAAGGGATGTTTATGTTAAGCCACTGAATGCAGCATTAGCGTCAAATCGAGCAATCCTAAATAGTCTCAATGTTCAGCTCATTTTCACTGATATATTGTGCATATTACAACTGAACAGGTAATTTTTTTCTGACTATTTTGAAGCCCATTATGATAAATCACTATCCCTAAATCACTATCCCATTCTAAATGCAGTATATGTGTATCTGACCTGCTGTGCAAGACTTCTAAATCCACTGGCTATAGGTCAAACTTCAGTGTTCCTTAAGGCAAAGGGGATATCACAAGCATATCAGAGCTTGAGAATGTTGCTTTTTGGACTACATTTCCCACAATCTCCAGGGAATTTTGGGAGTTGTAGTCAAAAAACAACAAGGTTTGGAATCCTTGATTCAAAATTTGAATCCTTCATTCAAAATTTGCAATGTGAATCCTTGATTCACATTGCATATTTGAGAATGTGGTGAAACTGTCTGTGGTATTTGAGCGTCAAATATATTATGAATGACAAATGTATCACAGCATGTACAAACCACTATATACTCATCAATCCTCTGTATTCACACTGGGGGTTTGATCTGCTAGTACGCAGCTAGACAAGAGCTGCATGGTTCACAGCAACCAATACATTTTGAAACAAGCTTTAAATCATCACTCAAAATGGGAGAGAAGTTTCTCCTGAAACCTGCAAACACATTATCATTATAGTTTGTTTGAACTTGCCTGTACGCAGAGACAAAGAGAGAGACACACCCTTCTGTCTGTTTCATGCACAGGTGGTTTCTAGGTGAGTTAACAGAAAGGCTGAAAGAATGGAGCCCAGCCCAGAACATAGGAGAGGTATTCATAACATTTGGCCATCAGCTTCAAACATACACAAACTTTTTCAATAATTATGCTGTAATCCTGAAAACCATAGACAAGGTAAGAATGAACCATAGTTACAGCACTTGAAAATGGATGTACTTTGCAATATTCCACTCTGTCCCATTGTTCTGTATCTTATTCTTATGGGTTGAGAAGAATGACCAACAAGGAAGTACTAAAGCAAATTAATACAGACTAAGAAAGCATAAAACACATTAAATGCAGAAAGCTAGAATACTTTGGGCATGGTAGAAATGAAATTTACTGATTGTTCAAGACAAAATAGATGGGAAAAGGCATGCAGAAAGGAGGTATTTGGTTGAGGACCCTTGGAGGTTGGTTTGGATGCGACACAACATCATCATTTAGACTAGCTGCCAAATGCCAAATCAAAGTACTGTAGTTGTCATGACATTCAAATTCTGGAAGGAAAGGAACAATAAGAAGCAGATTTTTCTAATGTATGTGTTGAAGCTCAAACCACTCCCTGCCAGTTGGTGTTAAAACTGGTTGTGAGTGTTCTCTGTTTATATCTTGCCAGCGGTGGAAGCATTTTGCATGTACAATTTGTACATCTGTACAACTTGTTTCTTAAAATCCTTTCTTTTAATCTCTTATGGCCGTGGAGCCAAAAATGGGTCTTAGGTAGCTTTTGATTGTGCTTTGAGGATTTCCAGTTTCCTCCTTGAGGCTAGTGTATGTTATTTTTGATTAACATCAAACACAACTGGCAGCCTCCAGATTTTGGAAGACTGCTCTAGATACCATACCACCCACAAAAAAGAGGGTAAATTATAGCTGTAGCAAAATCCAAGAACAAGGAAGACAGCTGCGTGGCGAGATTGAGTTCCCAACCCACTTTCAAAAAAACTTACCAAGGAAAACATTCAATGCCTCCCAACGAAACATTGTTCTGGGGTAGATTCTCTGTTGTATCTCATCTCACCAGACTCAACACATTGTTTATTTCCCTTTCAAGGAATGATTTTTCTGTTATTGCATGACATGGCAGTATTCTTGTTCTTGTGCCCTATGGCAGATACACAAACTTCTAATTAATACCACTAGCAGCCTGATATCCTTAAAGCATAAAGCACATTTAATTGAAATCTTTTGTCTTTGCCTTTGTGAATTTCCTGGCCTAAAGGATGAACATTCATGTTGTGGTGCTGACATACTGAAGCTCTTTGAAACCATCTGCTACTTTAGCAAAGCAGAAAGGTGCCAATATATGAGCTGGATGACCACCGTCATGTATGTTATGTGCTGTCAAGTCACCTCTGACTTATAGCAACCCTATGCATGAGTGATATCCAGCATGTCCTGTCCTCAACTGCCCTGCTCACATCTTGTAAACAAAAGCCTGTGGCTTCTTTTGAGGAACCTGTCCATCTCATATTTGGTCTCCCTTTTTTTTCATATTGCCTTGAACAGTCATTAGTGTGTAAGGCACCCTTCACTCTCGAGAGACTGTGGTAAACAGTCATTACTCTGGCAAAAACACTATTCATCTGGCAAATTGCACAAAGCTGTAATAATTTGTTCTGCAATGTACAAGGACCTGGACAATTCCATTTTGGCTTTATTTCTGTGAAATAAATCATGACACGATGTAATATGCCATGTATTTTTGTTCATCTAAGGTTGTATTTACCTAATTTTCAGACCAGCTGAGGACCCAATTATTTTTATTATGTCCTGATACGTAAAACCATAGAATTCAAAGACAGTGTATTTTCTTTTTCTTGTGACTGGGTATCTGGATATTTAGGCTATATGATGTTACCTTCAAAGCTAAGCTTCCTAAGTCATTAGTGTTAGAAACATTTTACTAGCAATGTTATCTTTTCTCTGTTACCTGTCAATGAAGTCTGTGTTACATAAACTGCCTGTGTTTTATTATGATTTTGGTTCTCATTTTCATATTAATGTATGTATTTTACACATTTAAAGCTGTTTTTGAACAAAATTAGATCATTGGGGAGGGAAAAGGGTGCTCAACTTTAGTCATGCTCAGAATATACCAAGTCAGAATCTGAACCTTAATTTGTATCGATTGCTTGCAAACTGGATTACATGCCTGTTTTCTTACCACCATGCCCTATAGCAGTCTCTCCTCTCTCAGCTCACACTTTCAGTGAGCTTTTCTAAAGCTTATGCAAGGAAGCATCCAGTACTGAGCATAAGCCCTACTTTTTATGCTCAGTACTAGATCTCTGGCTCATGTGACAGCATGCCAGAGATCACAGGATCTCTACTGGGAGACACATGTTCTACCCACAAAGAGCAGGAGTCTGGCCTTGAATTACAACCCTTATATTCCCAGATCACAGGCTATAGTGGGTGCTTTGATGGCAGTTCTAGTTTAAACATCTGGAGGGTTTCTAATCTAAACATCTGGAGGGATGTCCTTTATACGAAGCTTTAACACGATTCACTTTCCATGAAGAACCTTGGCCATGTGCTTTTATCATGCATTTTAATAGGCTTGTGAATATTTGAGTGCATAGATTTCCCTCAGCATCTGTGCATTAAACATGTGATCTGGGGAATCCCTTGGTGCTTAGCCTTATGTTTCCCACCAAACTTATTCTGTCAGGATTTATGTCACTGTAGTTAAAGCAGCCAGCAGACAAGACTGTCTGGACAAGACTCAGTGGAGAAGACAATGAGGCTAGGAAAAGTAGAAGTCAGAAGGAAAAGAGGAAGATGGAACATGAGCTGGACTGATTCAATAAGGGAAGCCATGTCCTTGAGTTTGCAAAACCTGAACAAAGGCTGTTAATGGCAGGACCTTTTGAAAACCACTAATTCCTGGGGTTGCCATAATTCACAAGCAACTCAACTACACACAACAACAGCAGCAGCAGCAGCAGCAATCTGTGGGTGTAGAGAGGCATTTTTTTCAATTGGCCTTTAAACGCTTTTCAAATGCCCCTTGCTTCTGTGTAGGTTCAACTAATATACCAGCAGAGGGGAAATCAAGAGTCACTGTTCTTAGGATTAGAAGAAAGCCCACATCTAGCTTACAACCTTTCTGGCCTTTCATCGTTTTCTCAGTAGCACAAATTTATTGAGTGGGTGCTCCTCCTCAGTCATACTAGCATGCCAGTGCTAGAGCTGCCATAAGACAGGAGCTCAGGTCTGCCCCACAATGGCAGTATGGGAGGACTAGGTGTGGCAGAACAGATCATAGTACAAGGTCATGAAAGTTGTATTGCCTGTTCTTTTCTTGGTCTTCAGTTGTTGCTTTTTAAAGTCAAGTTGCATTGACATCGTTTGTAACATCTCTTGCTTTTGCAGTGCAGAGAAACTATCCCAGTATTCCGTGCTTTCTTGAGGAGACATGATAGGACTGTGATTACCTCTATGAGGAGGTAAGCCTGGCAGTTTGAAATACTCAAAGACAGCCAACATATAGTAAGCCACATGCTGGCAATTTGCACATCTTTCTTGAATGTGCCATCAGCAAAATATGTTTACATGCTAACTTTAAACATATTTTGCTGATGGCCCGTTCAAGTAAAACCAATGATCATAACAAATGTAGAAAAAACAGAATAGATAAGCTCATGCATCGTAAGCCGTGGTGGTGAGACTTCAGCCATAACTGTACGTCTTTGGTTAGATGAGTCCGCAAGGGAAAAACGCATTATAGAGTGGGGACATAGCAACATTACAGCCTGTGCAATGTTGTAACTAAACTTGTGAGTAGTTTTGCTATCTACAAAATGTGAATGGGGGAAGTAAAAACTAATTATGAAATAATCCAACTAGTTCTCCATGTTATTTACAACATTTTTGCACTTCTTCATGTCCATATTTCCTTCCTATTTCCCATCCCAGGGCACAAGGTGGTGGGAAGCCAGGTCCTCAAACAGAGTACTAGCTGCTGAAGCTCCAGGCATTCTGACAATGTCTATTATGATCCTTTAAAGTTGCACATCATAATAGAGTTTCTTGGTTGCAATGAAACATAAAACAGTTATGTCCAGTCTGAACGAGCAAAATGCCTATATAGTGATGATCCAAGATATGACAAGTGGGTGTACAATAGCTAGGAAGACATGTCTTAGCATATGTTTTAATTTACAGAACTGTTAGTTGGCTTTGAAGAGCAAGACAGGGCAACGATTTTAGCATAAAATACTTGAATATTATAGCACATGTATTTTTCCTTTTCTAATTACAACATTATGTTTACATATAATGTGTAGTCTACAAGACCTTCTGTTATGTCCTTCTAAGAGGATTGAAGAGTACCTAAACCTCTTGTATGCTTTGAAGCTTCACACTCCTGCAGAACACACTGACCGTGAAGATGTGACTGCTGCAATTAAGCAAATGGAACAATACAGGGATTACGTAGATCAGGTCTGTCTGTTATATTGTATTCCTTTTGGTATGAGGAACTCAAAAGAATCACTGATAACTCAGGACTAACTACATGTTTCATAGGATACACATGACTTGATCTCCCAATGTAATTGTCTTTTCAAGAAGACAGTCCCCCCCCTCCCAAATCTGGATTAGGAGTACAAAGGGCATAATCCTTTCTCCTTACATAGTGGAGGTCCCAAGGGATGAGCAAGGCTACAGATCTGTCCACCATTTTTGCAACTGCCCTGAGCCCCTACTACTGCCAGAGAAATCCCAGAAATTCTACTTGGTATCATGGCGTATCCAATGTAATTGTCTTTTCAAGAAGACAGTTTCCCCCCTGCCCTAAATCTGGATTAGGAGTACAAGGGGCATAATCCTTTCTCCCTGCATAGTGGATGAGCAAGGCTACAGATCTGTCCACCATTTTTGCAACTGCCCTGAGCCCCTACTACTGCCAGAGAAATTCCACTTGGTATCATGGCGTACACTCTTCATATTCAGGGATCTAATTACAGCTTTCCCATATAACAGCTCTGAAGGCTTCTCCAAGTTCTGCCAGCCTCCAGAGATAGATAGATAGATGGCAATCAGACAGAGTTAGATAGATAGATAGATAGATAGATAGATAGATAGATAGATAGATAGATAGATAGATAGATAGATAGATAGATAGATAGATGGCAATCAGAGTTTTTTCCAAGGAGAGTGCCTGGTTTGTGCAGTTCCCTGTCCAGACAGAAGTACTTGGCCCCCAAATTGTTATCCTGTTGATACCAAGCAAAGCCATCTCAACTGTGCCAACTTCTTAATGATTTATTTTCAGCTTTTAATTTATTATAATTAATTTATTGTGTTTATTCCAATTTTGTAAAATAAAAACATGTAAGCTTTGATATATGCAACTTTTAAAGAACTAGAAATAGATATAAACAAACAAATGGCTAGTTTGATCCTCGAACAATAAAAATGAATAAGAGATTCACAAGTTCACCTTATGATTTCAGAGTCTTCCCTCAACTTTCTTAGCTTCACGATGACCGGAAGGAATGCTTGTGGAAATTCTGTGTTTATGTTTAAAGGGGTATGGCTTTCAGGTCAGATTTAAGTGCTAATTTATCAAGATGTTACCCTCTTTTTCAAGTAACTTAACCAATTTCCAAAAGGCAAGTTATTCACTAAAAACATGAAAACATGTGAAAACACCGATAATCAAAGCCTTTATGGGAATTTTAAAGTAGTACCAGACAGATGGCTTCCCTGTCCTCTTCATTGAGTGAAACTCTCTCTCTCTCTCTCTCTCTCTCTGTGTGTGTGTGTGTGTACACAGAAACCATGTTCTTTGAGTAGAACCCAAACTATTTAAGAAGCAACCCAAAATGTTCTTTGTGTTACTGCCTGTGTGTGTGTGTGTGTGTGTACAGAAACCATGTTCTTTGAGCGGAACCCAAACTATTTAATAACCAACCCAACTTGTTCTTTGTGTTACTGCCAATATATTAGTGCTTCTTTGTGTCTACATTATTAGAGCAAATTCTGCCTATTTTCCGTCCTAGAAAATGAACCCTAGGACATGAGGTGATAGAAAGTCAGATCCCAGAGCGGAGTCCCCAAGCTCCACACAGGGATTCCACCATGAGCCTAATGACGTCAGAGGACATGATCCCACCTGTCCCACCATACTGTGTTCTAAAACAGTCATATTTGCTTGTACTGCTCTCCTTTTCTTTTAAAAAGGTATCCTCAAAAGATGCAGTGCACTCCTGTTAATCTTATAGAAAACGGGGGGGGGGGCAGTTCATGTATTTACATGAATAACCTTTGGACATAAGCATTACAGACAGCGTCCCTTCATGGTCCTTGGAAAGCTTGCATTGTTTTACCTTCACTGTATTGAATTTCCAGCTAAAACAAAATGTGGGCAGAGATGATCAGCTATTAAGTACACAAAGTCTCATCCAAGGATGTCCTGTAAGTATTTGATTTGTCTCCCTGAAGAATGGACAGCTGTGTCCTTCCAGAGATTGTTGGGCTGCAATTTCCATTATCCTTCACATTGATGGTGATGGCCAAAGCAGCTAGGAGATGCAGTCTAAGAACAGTTGGAAGGGCCACAGATTGGTCTCTGTTAAATGTAGTGCAGAGAAAATGTATCCTTTATGTGTAATCAAGGCAAGAGCTGGCCCAAGAGTGAATTGTGTTTGTGTATATCCATTAATAAATAGGGAGAAGAAATCCATTCACTGAAGATCACATTTGTTTACAGGAAAAGTTGGTGTAAGTCAAGAGCACATAGTACAAGATACACACAGCTGATGCATACCAAAAGCAAACAGTTTTTAGCAGCTGATTCTAAGGGATGGAATGATGTACCACATGCAAGTCTGTGAAAATTGTATGAAAGGCAGAGAAACTACTAGGGCAAAGGGTGCTTTAATGTGCCTTACTGCAGTAAAGTGATACAGGGAGGCTGGAGGAAAAATGATGAATGAGAAACTGAGGTCACTTGAAGTGCCTTTTAAAGGCAGAATGTGTCAGTCATACTAAGAGGACTGAAAGATATTGGGTATTTATGCTTGCATACTGAACCAACAATCCTGTATACACTTTCTGGAAGAAAGCCCCATTGAACAGAGGCACTTATTTGTGAGTAAACATGCATAGGAACATGCTGCATGCAATCCTAGGTAGTAGGTTAAAAATAACTATAAAAAGCCGTCATATTTCTTAAAGAGGTTAGTGGTGGATTCAGGTTTGGGAAGACTGAAAACCACAATCAGAGACACATTTCTGTTTTATTTATTTTAGAATAATCAGCACTTGTATGTAGTCAGGCTATGATATTCTTGTGAGAATGTATTGGTTTGCAGTTCTGTGCAACAAGTCTTAATTGCACAGTATTTTTGAACTTATGATTTAGAGAGAACATGCATTTATAGAATTGTCAAAAACACATAACCTTTCTCTTTGTGTTCTAAAGTCTTTAGAAGACTGATTACTGCATATCAGCAATCAAGTATAAACTGTACCCCAAAAAATCAACCTTGGTCTGCCTAATGTTTAAAAAATTCATATTTAATGTTTAATTTACAGCACTTATTGAAGGCCAATAGGTACCTAATAAGGACGCAAAAAGTAGTTCAGCTAAACTGCTGCTCTGAAAGAGTCAGTATGCCATACAGGTAAATGGATCGATGCAAATATAAAGTAAGCAAAATTAGGAGTGGCTTTAGAAGAATCTGTTTTTCAGGGTTTGGTTTTTGTAGCCATAAATTGACATCATTGTTGAATTGTTTCCTTATGCTCTTTTCACAAATGTTGAAGGGTATGCAACCCATTTAGTGGTCATTTGTAGAAGCATATATTTCCACAGCTACAAATAAGCACAAAGAAAAAGTCTAAACTTTGGGCTGGGACAGTTTATAGTTCAGAGGTGGGCAAAATGCAGTCCTTCAGATGGTGTTTAACCGCAGCTCCCATCCAGTCTCACCAGGATAACCAATGGTAAGGAATGTTGGGAGTTTCAATTTAACAACATATGGAGAGGCACACTGCCCACCGTGCTCTAGTTAATGGCCTTGATCCCCGAGGACAGATGTGCATATCACAGAAACCCCTTCCTTTTAATGCCTGAAAGTTAAAAGCTTAACTTCAACAGTAGCAGGCTGAAATAAGATTGTCTTAAGTACAATGTTTTTGTTCATAAATCTTCTGCTACATCATTTACAATAAATGTACTCTATTTTTCCCCGTGTATAATATGCCCCCATGTATAAGACGCCACCTTTCTATCCCAAAATTTCTTTATAAGAAATTGGAGGGGGAAGGCAGGGCGTTTTGATTCCAGCTTTCCTCCTCCACATTCTGGGGAAGAAAATGCTTTTCTTGAAATAAGATTGTCTTAAGTACAATGTTTTTGTTCATAAATCTTCTGCTACATCATTTACAATAAATGTACTCTATTTTTTCCCGTGTATAATATGCCCCCATGTATAAGATACCCCCCCTTTCTAACCCAAAATTTCTTTCTTTATAAGAAATTGGAGGGGGAAGGCAGGGTGCTTTGATTCCAGCTTTCCTCCTCCACTTTCTTGTGAGGAAAGTGCTTTCCCCCTCCACTTTCTTTGCAAAACCCTGCTTTCCCCCTCCACTATTTGCGAGTGGGAAAGCAGCTTTTTGCAAAGAAAATGGAAGGGGAAAGAAGGAATAGCTTTTCCCCTCCACTTTCTTGTGAGGAAAGTGCTTTTCTCTTCCACTTTTTGCAAAGGGTGCTTTCCCCCTCCACTTCATTTGCAAACCTCCACTATCTTTGCAAAAAGCTGCTTTCCCCCTTGCAAAAAATGGAGGGGGAAATCAGCTTTTTGCAAAGAAAGTGGAGGGGGAAAGCAGCTTTTCTGTAAAGAGAGTGGAGGGGGAAAGCAATTCCTTCTTTTCCCCTCCACTTTCTTGTGAGGAGAGTGCTTTCCCCCTCCACTTCCTTTGCAAAAAGTGGAAGGGGAAAGCGCTTTGATCCCTCCCTCCCTACTAATGTGTATAAAACGACCCTCAATTTTTCCTCTAATTATTTTAGGGAAAAGTGTCATTTTATACAGGGAAAAATATGGTACACTCAATGCTGATAAGTTAACCTCCACAGCACCTGTGCTAATTTCTCACAAGTTTTGCATTAACAATATTGTATTTTGGCTGATCTTTTGCTTTCATTTTTTACAGGTTATATGAACACACCCATGATCTTACCCTTTTCCTTTTCAATGATATACTTGTAATCTCACTATGTAGCATCTCTTACAAGCCTTTTGAACGGATCCCAAAAACTACTCACCATTTTTTGGCAGCTGTGAAACTTCATCAACTCCTTGTAGAGGATATTCCAGATTCCAAATGTTCGTTTTTCATTGTCCTAATGCAATATAAATATTTCATGATACACACGCCTCCTGTATCTGAATGGCTAAAAGAGGTGTTCTAATCCAAACATTGTCTACAGATTAGCTTTTTAAAATATCATTGCCTTAAAAAGGACCAAAATGCAACATTAAATATCTCATTCATGTGAGAATTAAAAAATTTTAAACTAGTTGTTGCCAATCTTGGATCCCAAAGTGTTGTTAGACTACAGATTCCAGACTGCACAAATGTTGGCCATCCTGGGGGTGGAGCTTCTGGTCCAACCACAAAATCCAATAAAATATGGGAGCCCAAAGAGAATTGGAGAGTCACTGTTCCAAAATGACATGGATATGTAGAATTGCTAACACACTTCTGTGGAATGGTAGCCATAATTTTTTGACTGAAAGTGTTCTCAACATAGTGGAATACAAGGTGAAATGGTAAATAAACATCTAAAAATGTCTTTATGACTTCATGTTCGGCATGTGTGATGATGAGTATTCTGGAGCTCTGCCCTTTGTTAAATTAATTTACATTAATGGGCAGAAACAGGGTTCATTTTAAATCTGGCCTTTAACAAAGATGGTGGGGATAACTTTTGTTACTCCCCATGGATGACGGGGAAATAGAATCAGACAAGCGGACCCTGCCTCCATATGTTAGGGTGCCCCTTTCAACTATACCTTGTTCACATTATGGCCACATGTGGAAGTCCACAACTGCGCAGCTCTTAACTTCAGAACTGATTGTGTAACGGGAGTGTTATGTGCTAGAGTTTTCGTAGATGCAAATCTGTCATCTCTCATATCTAGAGGCAGAATTTGTCTGCAGAAGTCAAGGGTGGGACATGTGTGGCTCCTCAGATGTTGTTGGATTTTAACTCTTATCAGGCCTAGCCAGTGCAGCCAATGGTGAGGGATGGCGGGAGCTCCACATCCATCCTGTCCCAGGTATAGCCAGTTACCCATTTTGATTCAGTGCCCTATAACTCTTTTAAGAATGTGTAGCAACTAACAGTATTAAAAAGGATGATGTGTGGTGAAAATGGGTGAGGTCAGGGGTGATGTGGTACCATTGAAAAAACTGGTTATTAGAGGTATAGGAAAACCTTTTCACCAAATTAACATTCTTAAGCCTTATTTTCAGATTGCTATTTCTCTATATTTTAGAAAATCTGCATCACAACATCTGTATAAATATCAACTCTTCAGTTTTGGAAAAACATATTGTTGCCCCATCTTTGGCTGGGTTGATGGGAAGTCTTAACATTACCACTGGCTCTATCATTAAGGCATCCAAATTCCCCATCCTGAATGTCAGTAACTATTTATTTTTGCAGATATCAAGAATGCCTTCTTTCTACAAGGACCCAAGTGTCACTGGATTTGTTCTACAGAGGAAGATGACAAGTTCCCATGGCTTTCTGCACTTGAAAGAGCAATTAACTGCAGTCTTCAAGAGGACATATACTCTCCTTGAGATTTCCTACATTGGTTAATTACTACTTCTATGGTCACAGATAGGTGTGACCATTTAATTAACCTTTGCTTAAAACAACTCCTTGTAAACAGCTGGCTTTAAGTAAAATCAAGAACCCCCCAAAACTACAGTAGTTACCTATCATTCAGTCACCAATGCAAGAATTTGATTTTATTATGATTCATAACAAGAACACATTCTGAACCTGCAGCTTTTCAAATTTGCTTTTGAAAAATACTTAAACAAAATTAGTCTTTCTCTCAACATTATCACTGTACTAACATCCATATTCTGCCCCACTATTGTGCTAAGTGCTGAATTTGCAGTACTGTATATTGAAGTGTTGGCCACAGGTTGAAGATGAAAATCTATGCTATCCCTAACGCTGCATCTTGGGTCATGTTAAGGAGCGCTTGGCTCCTTTTAAAGAGAAAGGCAGGGTAAAGATATTTTAATTAAATCAATCAATCTTAACAGCTGCAATGCTGGCTCCATAAAATAGCATAGTTGGAGACAGACTTTATATAGGTTACTAACAATCAGGAATGTGCAACACCACATTAGAGTGAGTTAGAGGCCTGTAAGAACACTGAATGGAACAGAGTTGATAGAGTTTTAAAGTCAAAATAGAACTGATACAAATACAAGTGATTAGCAAGCTGTGATTAGCTTATTGAATATTAATCATATGTTAACTTCCCTGATCTAATAAAAGAGTTAAGTTTCAAAAACACACATGTCTCCTTGATTAAATGGTATTGAAGCAGCAATACCTGGTGGCAGCGAAGAAGGAAGAAGAGCGAGAACCTCGTGAAGGCCTGGGGAATAGGGGCTTCAGAGGGGATCGCCAACTGTAATGCTGGCTCCATAAAATAGCATAGTTGGAGACAGACTTTATATAGGCTACTAACAAGCAGGAATGTGCAACACCACTTACGATGCTGCATTAAGTGTTTCTCTAATTCTTGCTGAAGATTGGGTGGTTTTACTTAAATTACAGAATCCACACCACTTCTAAGTAGTTGATGGGGGCATTAACTTGTTTCTTTACCATGGAAAGGTTATCTACAGTTAATCTTGCCTTCCTGGTGCTTACAGTTTCATCATACCATCAAATATATGCTTGTCCTGAAGCTTCATTGTAAACAATGATGTACATTTGTTCGGACATATTCCTTTTCCTGTCATGCATTATGTAGAAATGATTAATATGCAGTTGGACTTCTGTTAATGCATGTAGGTGCCAGTCTTCCAGATGATTACTCCTCAGATTGTTTAGTTGCTGTATAAGACAATGTGTCTGTTCTTTCCTAAACAGCAGAGTTTGCATCCAAATGTTAGAACTGAACAGAAATCTGCGACCCTAGACTAGAATGAAATCGATAGCTCAGTTTTAGACATTGAACACCGTAGTGCAGTCGGTGGTTGGGGTATTCTTAACAGAATGGACCACTGGGCACTCACTGTGAAGGCTCCTTCTGGATTGGGGCTTGGAAGATTGCCGGATAGGAATATGTTATTCCAACATCCATGACAAGGTAGGGATCACATCACCAAGAGTCTTTGGTTTTTGAGAAGCAGCTAGCTCCTCTCTTCTGCTTGTGTTTAAAGCCAAACAGTTGTGCAAACAGTTGCACTAGACTGTTAAGGAATGGAAGCACAGAGGATGGAAAAGGCATAAAAAAGAAATAAGGCAGGCACTCCACCCATCTGAGTAGGACAGCAACATGTATAAATATAAAGCAGAGGGGGGGAAATGTAACTGGTAATCAGGCTCAGGCTATTCTGTCTATACTAATATATTCATTTTTAGTACATTCTTGTTACCTGCATAGTTAAAGTGATGCCTGGCTGTCTGTATTAAGAGATTTATCAGACACCATTGTGGCATGTTCATCTGAATCATTTCAGTTATTTTCTTTGATTTAGTATACCTGAATATATGCTATATATTCAGGTATTTGAATATACTGTATAATAGTTTTCCATTCAATATACCTGAATATTTGCTATTTCAGAAATGAAAATACCACTTTGCAAACCATCTAGATTATATAATAGCAGACCAACTGGCATGATCTGAGATTTGATCAGTTAATTAATTGTAGAAAGAGCTGCAAACTGCCAATTTCATCAACTCTGGTATGGATTATGATTTGGTAATAGACAACGTATGACTATGAACATTTTTTTCAAATCCTTTATTGGCATCGAGATTATGGCAGCCAAATCAGATCTCTTAAATCTCAAGGGCAATGAAATTTGTAACCAACCTGAATCCACCAGCGCTTGTAGGAGGTAAACTCAGTTTGATCTGGATGTTGCTGTAACATTCTGGTGCATATTAACTATTATTGCAGCAAGTATTTTAAGATTAACATTTAAGTGGGAAATACAGTACATCTGTACATGCCTAGTATGAACTTTGGGAATGACAGCAATAATGACAAGAGAACTTGGGGAAGAACCGGCCTCAAAACGATTTTAATCTCTGCATATATATTGTACCATTCAACAGGAAAGCTGTCCAGGCCCAGGGGTTTTCCATGCCGAGGTTTCAGTAATTTTTCTAAATTCATCCATTTCTATGGGAATAGAAATGGGCTCCTTACCCTGTGCCTCAAACTCCAACTTAAAAAAAAATTGTTTAACTTTGTTTGTAAGGGCCCTAATTTTTTGTATACAAACTGAGAATAAAAAATTGAAATTCTAGAATCATATTCTTTGGTACAATATAAGGATTATTTTCTGCACTGTTAATTAATGAGATACAATTACAATTTTAATGCCATCTTAATCTATTTGTTAGCAATTAGCCAACTTTCTATTTGCCCAATATTTCTGTTGCTAATATACTAATGTGAATACTACTCCAGACAGCAATTCATATTACGACACTGAATTTGTGACTGAAGTCTGTCAGGTCAGGGAGTTTAAGGCCTCAACCTCTCCCTTAAATGTTCTACAGAACCTTAAGAGATTTCCAGCTAAAAATCGAAAGCTTGTGTTTGTCTCAGCTGGCATTTATCCCAAAAAGGTTAATTCCAGAATGAAATCAGACCATCATTTATGATCATATGAAAAATACATTCTAACAGTGCAGGAGCTTAAAGCCTAAAGAAACAAAAGGCAGAGAATACATAACAGAATTCCTAAAAAATAAATATATATTAAAGAAAACTATTTTCTTAGCCTCTAAGCATATTAATAAAAATAATTCTAAACGCTCACCCAGCCAAACCAGCTTGAAATCTATGGATGAAAATCCATGATGATTGTACTGCCATTTTGTGTTGACAAGCTGAAAGTGACTATTCCTACCCTCGCTATCTTTTCTGGCCAATATTTATACACTTATTTTTTTTATTTATTTATTTTATTGTCATTGTAAGTATATACACAGTATACCCATACGATGAAATTCACAGACACCCAGAGGCCAGACACATGCACACACATAAAATTCCCCAAACACTCCCCACCCACTAAAAAATCCCCCAATACTCCCCATCCACTAAAAGTCCCCACTAAAAATACAAACATCTACACCGCAGGCCAAGT